TCTCTGTTTCTCCAGTATTATTCCTTTTCTATGTTATGTAGATACTTTTAGTAGAATATTTACAGGTCTAAGAAGTTATTATTTTATCTTTTATTTTTCCAGCTGATTACTTATTTTGCATATGTAAGTATGCATATGTACACAAGCATGTGCTACACACAGCCTCTATACTCTCTCCTTTCATCCTCTAGATTCCAGGGATCAAGCTTCAGGTTGTAAGGCTTGGGGTCGGGTGCCTTTACCTGCTGAACCATCTAGTTAGTCCAAAATTATTTCACCAATTATTACTTTTTTACAATATTACATCATTTGATGAAATCTATAAGAAGAAAACAGAGCAAGTAAAAAATTTCAAGACAGGCTTTTCTCTGTGTAGCCCTGCCTGGCTGTCCTCTGTAGACCAGGCTGGCCTCAAATTCAGAGATGCACCTGCCTCTACCTGAGTGCTGGGATTAAAGGCGTGGTCTACAACCACCTGGCACAAGTACAATTTTCTTATATTGTCGCTGCTTAATTTTTGCTGTCTTCATTTCTGACTATGCATCAAAGGTCCTCTCTGTACTGTTACTCCAGTACAGCCTTGCTATACCATTCCCTGCCTTTGTGTTTACTATTGTCAAAAATATTTATATTTATATACAAAATAAGTTCAATGATAAAGTTCTATATACATGTAATTACATATAAATGTCTTAAGTAATCATTCCTTAAATTGGTCAATAGAATGAAGAATGACATTATATTTTTTGTAGTTCTTTACACAATTATCTTTATCAGCACTCAGATTATTGTCTAATTTCATAAGAAATTACTAAAAGACGGCTCTTGTCCTGCAAAACATCCTTTAGTATTTCTTATATGGCAGGTCTGCTATATAAGATTATAAATATACACACACACATACATTCTTACAGATTTAGTGTATAAATTTACACACCAAAGAATAAATTTATAGCATTTAATGTCTTAAAGATAATTTTACTGGAATTAAGCTTTTGGTTGACAGTCTTTTTTCTAGCACCTTAAATACTTCATCTTTCTTTAGTCTGTTTCACATTGTTATAATAGAGTACCCAAGAGTGGGTATCTTATTAGGAAAGGGGTAATTATTTGAGGTCATAGTTCTGGATGCTGTTAAAATCAGGTAGCTGATTTAGTTGGCTTCTGGAGAAAGTCTCACTACAGCCTGACTCATGGCAGAAAGTAGAAGAACATGCAAAAGACAGAGACCTTCATGATGCTCACACCTCTTAATAGTCTGATGAATACTGGTACACTAGCAATTAAATATCAAGCCAAGTTTGGCTGGGGACAAACCATATCCAAGTCACAGTAGCATTCCAATGCCTTCTGTTCGCCATTGATTTTTATGAGAAATCGCCTGTTAATCTTAATGAGACCTGCTAGCACAAGGCCGTTCACTTTTACTCTCTGTACTTCTCCAGTTATTTTTTTTAAAAAGCATTTTATATTTTATTTGTTTGTGGCTTGGAAGCTGCCACCAAAATTTAAGCAGTCTGTTTTTTTGTAACACACTCATTTACTAATAGCTTAGATCGTCCCTTTTTAGTCACCTCCAAGAGAGCACATATATATATATATATTCCAAATGATCAGGGATGTAATTTTATCTTTAAACCTGGCCTCTTAGGAATCTAAATGCAGCTTGGGTATTGGTTTCAAGTTCACCTTCTGTCCTATTCTGTTTGTTTCTTAGTGGGTGCCAGTTTGTGTTTATGCAGACCCTTGCTGACACCCAGAATAAACTGCCATCTCAAGAAACGTGCCTCGATTGTCTTTCTCTCTTTCCATTACCAAAATTCTGACTATTTTATTTTTTTGCAAGTTTTTTCATGGAGTTACAAGCACCCTCTTAATTAGTATCTATCATAATCTATGGCCTATTTTATTTCTGACAGTGTCCTTAGGCATGAAATTCTTGATACTTTGCTCTAGATAAGTCAGTTCCTTTAGGTAGAGCTATGGAGTTCAACCTTAATGCTTGCCTTTTTCTCAAAGCTGAACAACTTATGCAAAAAGTAGAAGTAAAGACAATGGCCTGTTTCTTCCAGAGATGAATCTCTTCATTATGGATGAGGACTGGGGTGAATCTGCACTTGCTCCATCCACAATGAGCCTTTGATCTATGAGCAATCTTGAGCTGGGGCAATGGAGGCCGAGTTTTGTCAGCTTGCTTTGCCTGAGTGATTGCCTCCGCCCTACAAGTTAGGGAAGATAAAGGTGGATGGGAGAAGAGAGACCCAGTCCTTTTGGGTCAATCTCTATTTACCTTCCACAATACAAAACTGGGGGAAATGGAAGCAGTCAGAGGCTTGCTCCTCCGTGGTGAAACGAGTTTTCCTGGGCAGAAGTATCTTTTAAAATACAAACTCATCAGCTCTTGTCATAACTTAGTCACAATATATACATAAACTACAATCACTAATTGTTTCCTTTGCTGACACACTTATGCCTATTTTAGTCCTTAGTTTGTAGCACTTGTAATGGAACTTGCATACACTGGAGATATTCAGTCACTGATTATTCCATCATCTTGATCCCCCATTACCCTAAAAGAATAGATTTCATAGAGCAGAATGAATGAACAGAAGTAAATTACTTTCTTTACCAGAAGTAAGCTGTTATCCCATAAAAGGTTATGCCTGACAGCTTACATCCTAGGTGAATCTATTCTTCGTTGTATTGGAATTCCAATCTCCCCGTTTTAGATGCGGAAGACTATTCACAATGTCATTTCCAAATAACCTGCATGGAGGGCCCTTCTAAACCTACACCAGCATGACTTCTTAAAGGTCTCCTGAACAGACTAGGCTTTATTTTGTATAGTTATTAAGCAGGACTACAAAACTCAAAGGCTTGTATTATGTTTTAGGTTTTTGATAATGAAGGAAAGCTTTGTAACTCTTGGTTAAACCTATTACTTCATTCATACCCTTTTGTCAGAAACTCTATTTTATTAAACCTGCGAACTTTTCCATTTCCCACTTCCAGACAAAAGCCCTGCTAATACGCTACTCTATCTCAACAAACTTGAATGGTTCTATATGTGCAGCCTTAAATAGTGTAATTATTATCATTTGCTAATTTTACCATAAGATACAGTATTAGCAGCATTGGGTATCATTTAGCTCCTAAAAGAATTTTACTCAACAAAATAGAATTACACATAAATTTTCAAAGCACTCTACAGCATAAACCTTATATTCCACAAAGACCCATACAAACTCTTTTAGCTTTTTCTAAAAGCTAACAAGGTATGCCACCCAATGGATGTAGTACAGTACTGCACCCAAAACATATATACTGTACTATCCCAAATACCATTCGTAATCCCCCTGAGGTTTCCATAAGCCACCACAGAGTTACCAAACAAATGTAGGCAGAAAAAGAAAAGTGGTCATTAAAATGTAAGAATTTGAAAACATGGTATGAAAATAGCCAGACGACCAAGAAAGAGAAGTAATATTTACTGTGCACCCCTTCAAGCCTGCAATGAATGATGAAAAACTAATGAAAGCAATAGGGGAGAGTTAGGATCAAATTACAGAGACCAGGGTGGACTATTGTTTTCTACCCCCTTGCTACAAAATTCAATTTTCTAAATTGCTCTTTCAATCTGACTGGGATTTAAACATTGCTTCCTGAGTACTGACCACGTTCCAAGCAAGGCTTGGGAAGCTTTCCCATAGACTGTCGTTTACTTCTTCTAATAGCTTTATGTCCAAAAGTTCACTTTCTCTTGAGGCCACCTGCTCATGTTCAGGAGATCTAACAATTTTTGTATTAGCTACACAGCTTAATTGTGTGTGGAAGAATCACAGTACAGGGGACTCGCAAACTTGTACAAGTCTTTGTTTATGAGACTGAAAGACTTACCTAAGAAGAACTGAGACAGCAAAGCTATATCACTAGCGGGAGAGGTTAGCTGACCCTTAGGAAATAGTCTATGGCCTCTGCCCTATGCTATGTTACGAAAGGGGCACTGAGAAACTCACAACTGTTTTGTAAGAATCACATTAATGACGACTGTAGACATTTCTACTATTTGAGAGCAATTCTCTGTTTGCCCTTCACAAACGAAAACAGCAAGGAAGAGAAATGCAAGGTGTGGCAATTAGGAGTACTGTGTTCATTGCTAGTGGCAATACAGGGGCTGCTGTATGTTTTAGTACCTCAGAGACGCCTAAGAAAATTCATAGTTATCCTCCTTCCTATTACATGGACTAACAACATTGACGAGGTAGTAGTAAACGAAGTGAAGCCCAAGAACAAACTTTTTTCCAGACAGGATCTCACTGTGTAACCTGGCTGGCCTGGAATCCACTATGCAGACAAGGCTGTGCTCAAACACATGGGAGCCTCTGCCTCGTGGACACTGGGATTAAAGACTTGTACCACCATGTCATGCAAGAAAAAGCTTTTGGGGATGACTTATTTTCTAGTAAACAGTGTATGATCATGAGGGACACATTTCTACTAGTTAATTTTACACAGAGCCAACACATCATAGACCTATGAATCCTCTGTAGATGTTAATATTAATGAAGTATAGGGACAATGATTTTCTATATAGCATTACCTTATTTATATAGCACTTAATACTTTTCAAAGACTTCAGTAGAAAACACAAGACAGTGACCATTTCAAAAATATATAGGCTCGACATAGCATTTATAAGAAGGAAAAACTAGGGGGTGCATGCAAGACACAATTCTATCAATCCCAAACTATATTTTCATGAATGAACTTCATGTGTTAAGAAAAAAACTTACCTGGAATGGTGGTACACGCCATTAGTACTAGCACTTGAAAGGAAGAGGGAGGTGGATCTCTTTGTGAGTGTGAAGTCAGACAACACATGCACATACATACATTACATATATAGTTTATATAATAGGTATTATAAGTGACATCAAATTACTCTACAGGAAAACAGACTCTGAGACTTATTTTTGAAAGCAAATGATGGTTTTAGTCACCTGGAAAACTGAAAAATACTGGAATCCAGCGACTTCAGTTGAAGAGGTGATTTGTTTTCTTCTCCACCGGATGAAAGAAGGCTCGGGCTATTGATTTGCTCATATCCAATCATCTTGTCATTTAGTTCAGTCATCTCTGGTGTAGTAGTAATCTTTGGTGGATTACTGAGGACCTAACAAAAAAGAAATAGTTCATAAAAATCCCAACTTTGAGCAAAATACCAAAAGATGTGTCAATTCTTCTGATGCTAGGAAAGAATGCTTGACCAAATAAACAGAACAAACAGTGCACAGCAATGTACACTAGAACACTGACCCCAAACACAGTCGGTCACTAATTATCAGCTAGACACCAACAGACTCTTCCCAACTCTTGTATTGGTTACTAGACCTATCCCACCCACAAGACAAACCCAGGTCCCAATCGCTGTCTATTTCGCTCTCGCGACCCAGGTGAAGGTTGGGCTTTCATCCTTCCGAGCTCTGTGTCGAAAACGTGGGTGGAGAGGAAAAGCATTGCAGCAAGTATCTGCTGGTTTAGGAGAGACACATGCCAGAGGCTATCACATGTTCACAGTGCACACAACAGAGACATGCACCTGGGATCTGGTTGGAGAGCCAGCATATGAAGAAAATATGAGTAATTAGGGTGAAAGAATAAAGGGAAGGCAAACTGAATGAGGATAGGGCAGTCCTGGAAATCCCGGTCTCTGTACAGACATAGGATATGAACCGTGGTTACTCACATGCCTCGGTTTGAGTAGGGTACGTGAAGAAGCGTTATTAGTGTTAAACTGCCTCTCTCCTCACTAGTCTGACCTGCCCGACTGGGAAAGTAAGTGTATCTAACATGCGACTAGCAGATCTCTGGGAGATAGGGTCGAGAGGGAAATCATGCAGAAAGGCAAGGAGGGGTGGGAGAGATATATGGGTGCTATGGTGGCTGTCAGGAAAGGAGTGTCCCTGAAAGGACGGCCAACCTTATTGCACCCTTCAGCGTCCGGAGCTGGGCAACCATGTCCGAGAGACAGTGCTCCTGAAAATTCAAAACAGCAGAGTCTTTATAAAGCCAGCCAGCCTGAAAGCAGGGATGGGCGGGGGCGGGGAGGCACAAAGAACCAACCCTTCTTCCCAAGAGAAAAGAGTTAGGAATGATCCCTGAATCCCAAATGAAAGGAGACCGGAAAACCAGACACTCAAGAGCAGCAGCTTATGAAGATGGCACACAACTGCTAATGACACAACGGTGTCATTCCCATTGCCCAGAATCGGGACGGATCCAAGTCTGGAAAATAAATGACGTCATTCTTCTGTTCCAGTGATCTGAACAGCAACGACGGAAGATCAACACAAAACCCAAAGAGCCAATCCGAAGAAGAGAGCACGAGAAGAAACCCTCAGCATTGCTGGGCAGTGATCTTCAACCTGAATCCTGTGGGGGCGGAAAACGGTGTGAGAAGAGGAAAAATGGACCTGACTCTCACCTGGTGCTTGTCACTTTCCATAGGCTGCTGCTTCTTCTCAACAGTTTCATCTCTAGAAGATAAAAGTGCTATTTAGATTCTGGAGGCCAACGTAGGGGGACTGCAAGCTCAAAGCCATCCTGGTCTACAGAGTGAGTTACAGGTAAGTCTAGACTGTGTACTGAGACTGTCTGTAAATAATGTGATATTTAGTGCACTCATGAAGTTCAGAGAAACTGGGCTATATTCCTGAATTATGCTACTGGAGAGATTTCAAACTCTCGCTCCGTGTCTGTGCATACGTGTGCGTGCGCGTGTGCGTCAGTGTACAGAGCAGGGAGGAGACTGACCAAGCAGACTAGGACAAGTTGAGGCATTCTGAAGGTGACAGAAGGAAGAACGGGCAGAGCACACAGGCGAGGGGGCAAGCGCGGAGCCCTGCAGAGCTATCTCCCTCCTCAAGCCTTTGTCTTGTGACAGGGAGAGTGGTTCCTCGGCTATAGGAAGCAGAGCACCGCCTCACGTATACTCAACTGTTGCTTAGCCTTGCTCAGGTATAAGTCTTCAGTGCGTTCTTGTTCTTCTGGAACAGAGCATCGCCTGTGGTACAGACAGGAAGTCATCTTTCGGAAGCAAAACATGGTTCGAGCTTTTACTCTTTACCTCCTTTAAGGGCAACTTAATGATAGAGCAGCTTGATTGGGTAACCTTCTCCAGTTTGGATCCCATTCACACCACACAAACTAGCTATACTATAGCACTGGGAAGGGAATCTCAGGAGGAAGAACCAAAGGCACGAACAAATTTATTCGGTGGCCACAAGTAATGCAAAAAAACCCTGATAAACAGGAGTATCAGTTGGCAATTGCATTATATTCATTTTGCAAGGGAGTAAAGCAGATTAGAAGGATCTTTCCTGGCCTAACTGTTAATAGATAAAAGACAGCATAGTCCAAAGAGGAAAGCATTAATGAAGAAACTTCTAGAAGTCATTTTCATAACCTGACCACTCAGTCTCATTTCCTGTCCACAGGCACATGTGGAGACCCTGGAGGTGTGCTTCCAAATTACACACCTAGCCTTCACTCACATACTTTCTTCCCCTTTGGACATTTTCTCTAAAAAGCATACTCTGTGGGACTACCTTCTATTTACCAGCATGTGGTCCGTGAAAAGAAGAGTAGGTAAGAGATCACAGCTGGATGGAAGCAGACTGACTTGTTAGGAACACACGTAACTACTGAGTTATATCGGGCACTGTTGAGACATTGCCTGCTCTAAGGAACATATGGCACACTAGGAACACAAAGAAGCAAACAAACAGCACTGACTGTACAGCAGATCCTATTTACATGGACCCTACAGAGACACAGGAAAGCTACTGACTCAATGTGCAATGTAAGGAACCTAGTCTTAAAGAACAAAGGCTCCTGTAGAATCAAACATAAATAAGAAACAAACTCCCGAAAAATACCCCCAAGTACAAAATGGCATAGGAACAAAAGTCAAGAATCAAATGCTGTGGGAGGTCAGAGTGAAATCATCGAAAATTGCTATTAAGAGGAAAAGCTGCTACAAAAGAGTTCAGCTCCTTAGACTGTTATGATTTGAAATGGAACATGGGATACAGAAAGTCATTTCAATCAAGAGAAACAACACTATCAGAGTCATGGAGGGGAGAGGAGCCATGGCATCTGTAGGGAATAGTGCCTTGTAGGAGTTTGGTAAAGTACAATGAAAAATAAGGTTAGCTATATAGTTTAAATGGGGCCAGCCAGCACAGGGGGCTTGAATGCCAGGCTAAAGAAGACAGATTTGATATGAAGTGGTTCTGTGGAATAGGAAGACAAATCAGGAGTCATCAAAAGAATACTGAGTCCTAGAAATTACCTGTACTTTGGATGGGGATTATAGTAACAAAACCATCTGGCAGGTAATGTGGATGGATCCACCTTCCCAGGAAGTTTTCTCCATTTAAGACATTCATCACACTGTACCCATGTCTGGTCGGGAATCTTCCTGGGTGAGGAAAAACAGAAATGTTATTGTATAGATCCTAGCTCTGGACTTTGTCCTACATTTAAAAGGTATGTCCTAAAAATGAAAACAAAACTTTTATGTGGAAAAAATGCCTAGAAATTGTATAATCTTGATGTCTGAAATGTGTATATTGAGAGAAATCTAGATAACTATATCAGATGTGAATACAAAACATACTGATCTACAATTATTTGTAGAGGATAATAATATTTATTCTAGAATATTTTTTTGAGAAAATAATAGGTTAGTTAGTTTTACCTCTGAGATTTATTAACTTGAGAAAAGTATGTGTATCATACATTGCTATAAAGAAATAAAGCTCACCCAATTGTTTTATTTCCTTGTCCAGTCACTGAACAAATTTTAAATGTATTTACAGGAGGCACAGAGGAAGCATTGTCATCAAAATCTCTCCCCTACTTGCGAGCACACTCCGAATTTCTCTCACTGTCATCAAAATCTTTTCCCCACTTCCCTGAACGCTTTTGCTTTCTCTTTTCGCTTTCACAACCTGCCCTTTGGGCTTAGGGATGTAGCTCAGTGTGCAGCTTGCTAGCATGCACAAGGTTCTGAGTTTGACTCCAGCATCACATCACGTGTTTATAATGCCGCAATCACATTACTGTGTTTCTATTCCCAACATCCATCACAAAAGGCAATGTACTTTGATTAAATTTCCTAACTATAAATGATGGCCCCAACAATTGGTCAAAATGATTAAGATAACTCATCCAGGGCTGACCTCTCCAAATGCATATCCACCCTCATCAATTCCAGAAGTGTGCAACCAAATCACTTGTAGATGAAAGTGAATTCATTTCCCCGTGGAAGAGAGTAGTGCGGATGTAGCCGGAGGTATAAATAGTGTGCAGAGTTGTACCGGAGAGCACCAAGGCTGATGAGCACACAGGGAGGAGAGAGGCACCTCCGGCCCACTTTACTTCCAGGGCGAGTTTTGTGTATCCCGCACATTACAGCTCTTCTACTAGACTGTTCAATGAACTGGTATGCTTCTATTATGACTTCTTTTAGTCATTTTTCATTGTATTAAGTCCTGCTTTTTTTATTACTAGTTTTAAAATAACGTTATCCCATTATGAAAAACTATAAAATAGAGAACTATATAAAGAAGAAAATAAAAGGTACTTGTGCCACTCAAATACTCTTTTTTTTTTTAAAAAAAAAATCTATTTAGCCAAGTTTTCGCAGACTTTTGGACCTCCCTATTGCTCTAGGTTGCTCCAGACTTGCAACCTTGAAGCTCTATGCTCAGGCCTGACCTCTGCTGTCTGCTACTTTCACACAGCTACAAAGCCGGAGCCCTTGGAAAGCAGTTTCAGCAGAAGTGGAGGAGGAGAGGAAAGGTTGTGTTAGCTTTGTTTTAGATGCATTTGCACAGAAGAACATCTTGCAAAAAGATGCCTGTATTACTCTTGAGGACAAGAACTCTAAGAGGCAGCAGCTACAAACAGACCACGGTGAATCCTTCAACCCAGGCAGAAAGAAGGGCTGTTGAGCTTCTGCCTGCAGCAAATACAAAGTTAAAGGATATATATATTGCCCTTGCTATATCCCTCCAGAAGAGTGTAGCTTCAAGAACCTGGGTGCTTAATTTGAACCTTAGCTCTACTGTATTCTACTTGGCTAATCCTGTGCAAAAGGTGTAAGTTCTTTGTGTGCTGGGCTTTCTATTTGCCAAGAAATAATACCTGTATACTGAGAGTTCTGTGGATTACTGAATAAATTATTACATGAAAGGAACTAAGAATAGTGTCTGGAACTTAAGTAATATTCAATAAATAATCTCTATTATTAAAATTCTGCTGCTAGAGAAGCACTTAAAGAAATGTTCAATATCCTTAGCCATTAGGGAAATGCAAATCAAAACTACTTGGAGATTTCATCTTATACCCATCAGAACGGCAAAAATCAAAAACACAAATGATAGCTGATGCTGGAGAGAATGTGGAGCAAAGGGAACATTCCTGGTAGGAATGTAAACTTGCACAGCCACTTTGGAAATCAATATGGCGGTTTCTCAATCTACCTCAAGACCCACCTATATATACCACTCTTGGGAATGTACACAAAGGATACTCAATTATACCACAAGGACATTCATTTGTTCAACTATATTCATAGCAGCTTTATTCGTAATAGCCAGAACCTAGAAACAACGTGAATGGTCCTCAACTGAAAAATAGATTTAAAAAAATGTGGTACATTCATACAATAGAGTATTTACTCAGCTGTTAAAAACTACATCAGGAAATCTGAAGGCAAATTGATGGAGCTAGAAAAAAATCATCCTGGTATGTACTAACTCATAAGTGGATATTAGCTGTAGAGCAAAGGATAACTATGCTACAATCCACACACCCAGAGAGGCTAAGTAACAAGGAGGGCCCAAGGGGGAATTCATGGATCTCCCTGAGAAAGGGAAACAGAAGAGATCTCCTGGGTGGGCTGGAGGCAGGTGGGGATGGAAACTTGAGGGACTGGGTTTGGGAGTGGATGGGGAGATAGTATTGAAAGAGATGAATGGAAAGGGGGGCTTTTGGGGATCAGGTAGAAACGTGATATAAGGGAAACTCCCAAAAATCTACAAGGATGGATGACCCCAGCTAAGACTCCTAGCAATAGTGGAGAGGATGGCCTTCTGCTATTGATGACTACCCCTATTGTCATCAGAAAGCATTCATCCAGTAACTGATGGGAAGAGATGCAGAGACCCACAGCCCAACATTAGACTGAGCTCGGGAATCCTGCTGAAGAGAGGGAGGAAGGATTGGAGGAGCCAGAGGGTCAAGGACATCACAAGAAAACCCATAGAGTCAACTATCCTGGGTCATAAGTACTCACAGAGTCTGAACCAACAACCAGGGAACTTGCATGGGATCGATCTAGGTTCTCTACATATATGTGACAGTTGTGTAGCTTGTTGTACTTCTTGGACTCCTGCATGGGATCGATCTAGGTCCTCTACATATATGTGACAGTTGTGTAGCTTGTTCTACTTCTGGAACTCCTAACAGAGGGAGAAGAGGCTGTCTCTAATGCTTTGGCTGGCTCTTGGAAACCTATTCCTCATACTGATTGCCTTGCCCAGTCTTAATTTAATACAAAAGGAGATGCTTAGTCTTACAGCAACTTAATATGCCATGCTTTGTTGATACCCATGTGAGGCCTGCACCTTTCTGAACAGAAACAGGAGTGGATTGAGTTGCAGGGTGAAGAAGAGGTGAGAGGATAGGAGGGAGGGGGAAACTGGATGCAAAATAAATTAATTAAATAATAATTTTAAAAGGAAAAAAATCTGCTGTTAGATCTTACATGCCCCAGCAATATATGAACTTCTGTCTCACTACATTAATCAGTGCTAATTTGAAAGAACAAATATCATTTAATCTTAATTAATTTTTTGGCAAAAATGGCGGATTGAAATCAGTTGAAATTTTTAGAATAATGTAGAAATATACATACAGCATTCAGACTGCATTTGAAACAGAATTTTGCACCAAACATTAATCTAGTAATTTCCATTTTAAAACGTAGACGCCTCCCCTCATATGAGAAGGGCAGTGTAATCTCTACCACGTTGATATCTAGCTTGGTGATGTTATAACTAACTGTGTGTATGTTGTTATGCAGTCTGTCTTCTGGGCTGTCGTTTTGATTTGAAAGTCCCAATCGTCTACCACCCACCACTGCTAATAATACATATCCCCTCACATCATCACAGCTCTCTGAGATCTCAAATCTACTGTTTACTGCTCCCCTACATATTCGTCAGCCTGCCTCCTGACTTCATTCCTTAGCCGGTCCTGAATGCGGGTCTCATCCTTACACATACATACAACTCCCTTGGGCATTCACTCCTCAGTCCACTAACTGTATGTATGTTGTTATGCAGTCTGTCTTTTTGGCTGATCTGTTTCACCATATCCACAAGGAATAAACTCTGCTTTTCCTCTAATATGTTTCGTTCTGTATTTCTGCTCTGAAATACCTGTTTAGTCACAATAAAATGTAGCAAGAATAAAGAGGAAGCAAGTTTGTTAGCATGTCTGAACACCAACCCTATGCCATGCACTGTTCTAAAATCATGGAGTCTAACTCAGTACAGAGGTGAAGTGACTCACTGGAGTGCACTCAACGATCAAGGAGCAGGTCTAGACTTTCCACTGAGGACTGTCTGATTTAAATGGCCATAATCCCCCACTGTCTTAGTCTCTCCTAAATTGACAGCATTAAGCCCTTCACATCTATTATCCAAACCATATACATCTTAAAACAGAATGAAGAGGTAAAATGATGTAATTAGTACCTGTGCTTTCCCTATTGCGTTAATCAACCTTCCTGATGTGAAAAACACTACATTATCCTTGTTTCTTCCATTTGATGGAAGGACATTACCCTTAATGCTTTCACATTCTATATTTTATTACTGATGGTACTGGCCTGGATGCAGGTAAGTTCTCAAAATTCTCTTGAGATGTTTTTTCCTTCCAATAAGCATTGAGCTTCTGAGCAAGCGCACTTATTGTCGACCTGAAAGAAAATGCAAGGAGTATGTCAAGGTCCAGCATTTGAATAATTTTTTATCTCTCAGAAGATCCTGTTGAACAGAACACAGCAACTTAGAATAGTCAGCATAATTTTGAATACCTACAACTTAAAAAACTAATAAAGGGTCAACTGCCTTTGATACATCCTATAATAAAACCACAATGAAAACTATACCCAAAAAATATCATAATGTTACCATCATAATTATTGATAGTCTCTGGCTGTGAAGTTAAAATGGTTGTAAGATCCAAAAAAGTAGAATGGTCTAGATGTTTTCAAGTCTTATAGAATCATGGAATGAGTATGCTGTTGTCATTAGAGACTATGACAGAATGAGGACAGAGACAAATACTGATGAATTAATAAATTTTCAGATGATTATAGGGACATAACTCAGGATCAAATAGAAAAATTAGAGGCTCATACACAAAAACTTATCTATTAAAAATCAATCAAACATTAGCTTGATCTGTCATTATAGTTCATCTGCAGATACTAACCACAGCAGCACAGTAGTAACATGGAAAATGTTTCTTCAACGTTTTTCTACAACGCTGCTGTTAGAAGCTGAATCTGAGTTTGCTTTCTTATCTGATGAATAATTTCTATTAAGTTCTATTTCCCAAGATTACAACTTAATGCAAATGTACACATACTTGGAACACTATACACTTGAGAAATTTCAAGCCTCTTTCCACCCTTGGGATCATTACTTGGCATGCTTGCGGATCTCTTCTTCCATACACCGCTTCCTTACTGCCACCTTACCCATTTCAGTTAGATTTTCACTACATCCACAAGACTAAAATCACATAGGCATGTTCCTAGATTAATTCATCCCTTTCCTACTACCCATGCTTTCACCACTCTGTTAACAGCCTTCCCTCCAGTCATATTACATGTTCTCTTTCCTCTTCAAGGTCTACTTGATAGAGAAAATGTGATGGGATCCTGGGAAGGTAAGTAGAAGGCATGTGGAATCGGTCTCCTTGCCTAGATAGCAACTGCACTGGCACAATCTGCCTGATCACAGAGAACTAAGACTAACAGGGAAAATGTTTCCTTGGCATTTTACTGCACAGCTGTTATAAGAACCTGAAACAAATCCAGTTAATATTTAACAATCAGTATTTTGGAACACTTAGGTGGTAATTGTGGTTAATTTTGGTCCATTTCTCTTTTTAGTATTCTCCACTTCTAGTGCCATGACAGAGAATCCTTCAGGTGTTCCCCAAGTCACTTATAAGAACCATGATAGGGAAAAGGGTTCCTATCCTTCAAGGATAGTGGCCCGTGTTCTCAGTGCTACTATTTTAGATCACACAATGGGCAAGTGGCCTTTTCTGTTATATTCTCCATGATTACAAGTTTCTCCTCTAACTGAAATGATGTCCAGGACGTTCAAAGTGATAAAACTTTATTTTCACCTCTTCATATTTTTTCTTGTTTGGGGAGCCAGATGTTAAAAATGAAGATATTAAAAAAAGCATACACACATATGTATATACATAGCATATGCATTCATACATATACACAACCACACATATATGCATATATAGAAAATTAGAACGTCACTTTGAATTTCCAGGGAAAACACAGGTTCAGAAAACAAGTGAGACAATCTTAAGTTTACATTCTACCAAGTCTCTGGTACAGAGATAGCTTACCACACCACTGGCATCAAATAAACAAAAACAACACAGCAAATCCTAGGAAAGGGGGAAAACCTAATTTCCAGAATTATTGTTATAAAAATCACAGTGCATACAAAGAAACTAGAAAATATGGTATGATCAAAGAAAAATGAAATCCAAATAAACAGTCACTGAAAAAGTTCTGGGTTAAAGATGAAAAAAAAAAAAAAACCAAGGAAGGTGTGAATAAAGTCAAGTTCAAAGAGGTTTTGAAAAAAAATGGTAATAGCAAAAAGGAGACAGAAAACTTTTTAAAAGGAACTGAAATAAAATGTAGAACAGACCATTCACTTGGTAGATTCAAAAGTGGTGTAGTGATGAGATTAGCAGGCCTACTTTTCATCCCGCCCAGCTCCCGCACGGCTATCTTTATACCCGAAATAACAACACACAAATTATACTCATTTAAACAATTCCTGGCCCATTAGTTCTATCCGCTTATTGGCTAACTCTCACATCTTGATTAACCCATTTCTAATAATCTGTGTACCACCACAAAGTGGTGGCTTACTGGTAAGATTCTAACCACCGTCTATCTTGGGTAGGAGAATCATGGCGTCTGACTCACTTCCCTTCTTCCCAGAATTCTGTTCTGTCTACTTTACCCACCTATGTTTTGACCTATCATGCCAAGCAGTTTCTTTATTAATTAACCAATGAAAGCAACACATAGAAAGAAGACCCACCTACATCAAAGTGGGACAGAAAGACGAATCTGGGAACTTTAAGAAATTACTAAAATTGATGACCAATAAGAAAGAAAACTGGATTAAAACCGGTCTCGCTGAACATAGCAGACAATGAGGACTACTGAGACCTCAAGAACAATGGCAATGGGTTTTTGATCCTACTGCACGTATTGGCTTTGTGGGAGCCTAGGCAGTTTGGATGCTCACCTTACTAGACCTGGATGGAGGTGGGTGGTCCTTGGACTTCCCACAGGGCAGGGAACCCTGATTGTTCTTTGGACTAACGAGGGAGGGGGACTTGATTGGGGGAGGGGGAGGGAAAGGGGAGGGGGTGGTGGGGAAGAGACAGAAATCGTTAAGAAAGAAAGAAAGAAAGAAAGAAAGAAAGAAAGAAAGAAAGAAAGAAAGAAAACTGTAGATGGAAACAAAGCCTGAAGGACATGTGAGGCACCACCAGTGGTCCATCGTAGGCACTGTAGAAGTCTAAAGCCAAAAGAAAGAGACAGAGGCATCTTATATGTAGCCTCTATGATAACTCGTGGAAAATAGCTAGATTGTGTATATAAAAGGAAACAAGAAAAGAATTTAAGCAATCCACTATAAAACATCACCTAAACATAAAACACAGCAATGTGGGAAATGAGAGAGGCTATGAAACACACTGCCAAATGACAGAAGTCTTCCCTTACCAATGATCACTTTAAATCCAAATGGCATCAACCCAAATTCACAAATATGATGCAATATGATATGACAAAAAGAATACAGGTCCTTCGATTTGGTTCAGTGGGTAAAACATGCTATCAATCTTCAGGTCCCAAGCCTGCATATGCTCACACATGTGTGCACATACACATAAATATTTTTAAAAATTCAATAGGAAAGAATATGGCAGATTGTGGTGCCTAGAAACAGAGTACTACTAGAAAAAAACAACTAAAGATGAAGAAGTTTCTTTGGAACTGAAATTTAGCAGCCTGGGACATTTCGGGGGATCAGGAGTTCAAGGTTGTCTTTGGGTATATAGTGATCTTGAGGCTACACAAGACCCTGTCTAAAAACAGAATAAAAGGAAAATAAAGAAATCTGGCAAAGGTTTGAGAAACACGCCAGAGCCTAAATCGCATCAAGCAGACTGGCAATCGATATCTGGATGGATGTTAACTAAACTGATGAGGGCTCAGGAGAAAGTGGAGAAGCATGGGAGAGAAGAAGCTAGAGATTGCCTTAAAGAATGTCTAAATCACTGTAAACAGAGTTAGAAAGACAGATGGTAAAGCCACTCTAATCAAGGCTCAGGGAAAATGACCCCACACGTTACTGGAAAATCGGAAATATGATCCTAGCTACATAGTGACAGAAAGCTTAGCAGAAACATGTCCTGTACATCCACGGAGCACAGAGCTTGTACCTGCTGAACTTGTACATCTGGCTGAGGAGACCTCCAGAAAAACTGCTCAAGTTGTGTCCTCTGGCTGGTAATGGAAAAGGCAGGAAAGCAAAGATACATGAAAAGAACTAATAATGAGAAAGGAATCAGAATTTGACCATCTGGAATGTTCTCAGGCAGTCAAAATTACGAAAGATATTAAAATGTACAGATTCGTTGTTAGGGCTGTGAGCTCTGTGACTGAAGAGTAGGGTTGGACAATCATTAGCTACTATGGCAGTCAGATCAAAAGGTCACAATATCCAGTCACATACGAGGCTCTTTGGGAATATGAAGCATGTGACTCACAGACCTTCACAACCATCTCAGCTGAGGCCAAGAAGAGAAATCAGATTGTCTAGGGAAGATCAGTCAAGAGCCTCTTGTTAAATTGAATGAATATTCATCACATCCGTGGAAGACCTACAAGATTTTTGAGATGGCGGGAGCACAAACACTTTCATCTCCAACTGAAATGAATAAATGGGGGAGAATATATAATGAAAGAATCCTAGTGAATTTCTAAAACTATATACCTATAAGTAATGTTATAAGACGGAGCAGGCTGTAATTAAGATTACATATGCATACATGCATACAAAAGTGTATGTATCAATGACTATTGACACAAGAAGTCATGAATTTGAAAGAGCAAAGAGGAGTATATGGGTCTGGAGAGAGGAAAGGGAAAATGCTACAATTATATTATCATCACAAAAAAATTAATAACTAAAAAGACTCTAATGAAGATAAAATTGACAAAACTACTCTGCTGTAAAAATATACTAGTCTTCATGAACAGATAATTTTGAGAGTCGAACCATAGCCCTGAAGGCATAGTTTTAGTGATGGGGGCAGTATTATAAGTCCCACAAAATTATGTCTTGTGTTTGCTATTTAATGGAATTTGCCTAGCTGGACTTATGAAATTGCTTGGTGCCTGTAACTCTTTTTTTTTTCTTTTCTATTTAAACCCCACTTGACACAGAACTTTTATATAACTGGTGTCCTGTGCATCTCCTGCTATTATATTTTAGCATTAAAGTGTGTATGTGTGTGTGTGAGGGAGAGAGGGGGGAGGGGGAGAGGGAGAGGGAGAGGAACAGAGGGACAGAGAGACAGATGGAGGGGGAGAGAGAGACTCGGAGGAGGCGATGTGATTACAGAAAAAGAAAGGATTTTAGCCCACTGAGATCTGAGTCAAGACTTCTAACATACTTTTGAGCTGATGACATTTAGTTAAGACTTTAGACTCTTAAAATTTTGATGATGTTGGGGTGGAATAGGGCAATCACTTTCTGAATGTGAGAAATAAATCTTGAAGCACCAGAGGACAGACTGATAAATATAATAATAGTCTTTCAAAGATGTCTAGGTCCCATCCCTAAAGTCTGTGAATAACTTAGGTTATACACAGTAAAATCTGTGACTATCTTATGTTATACACAGTAAGAGAGTTACTGCTACTCACTGACTCTCCTTAAAGTAGGAAAAGCTTCTAAATGATACAGTGAAATTACGGGCCTTCAAGTGTGGAAGAGTGAGGCAGAGGAGTCAGAATCCGAGGAGGCAATGTGATTATGGAAGCAGGGTTACCGGAATGATGCAACGCGAGGAGGATGCAACTCATCACTGCTGACTTTGAAGCTGGAGAAGAGGGCCTTGGGCCAAGGAATGCTGGCAGTCTCTAAAGTTGGAAAGAAAAGGAATCGGACTCTTCCCTAGAGTCTCCAGAAAGGAAGACGGCCTGCCAACACCTTGATTTTAGCCCAGTGAGATCTGAGTCAAGCCTTCTAACCTACAGAACTCTAACACAGTAAATTAGTGTTATATTAAGCCACTAAATTTACGGTAAATTTTTACAATAGAAGATGCTTTCCGCTGCTTGCAGACAGAAGTTGAGCATACTGTTCTTCCCTAAAATGTAAATTATTGTCTGATTCCTCTGAATCCATTAGCTATAACTTGGCACATAGTTCAGATATACGGTTCTAAGAAAAGTGTGTGCTAACTATAGCCTGAACTCACTGCTTTTTTTTTTTTTTTGTGAACAAAACTGTCCTGGAACAATACTCGCTCCTTTACTTTCTGTCAATGTATAATTTCATACTATGACAGAATTAAAAAGTTGGGTAAGAGACCGTGTGTGGCCTACAAAAGCCCAAATATTTCTCTCTGGCCTTCTCAGAAAATACTTGATAGTCTCTGCTTTAGGACATGGCCCTACATTATCCATTTTGTTTGATTTTCTTCACTCTAGTATATCACCTCATCTCCACTTCCCCTTCAGAGTTCTTGTCATGCCACAACTCTATACTAGAATTCCCTTCCTTTTCTGCATCCTCTATCCTTTTAATTGTTTATTATTTATTTATACATGTGGGTGTTTCCTTTGCACGCATGTATGTACACCACATCTGTCCCTTGTGCCCATGGAGGCCAGAAGTAGCTGCTGGATTCCCAGGAGCTATAGTTACAGGCAGTTGTGAGCCATCATGTGGGTGCTGGGAATCAAATCTGGGTCACCTGGAAGAGCAGCCAGAGCTCTTAGCCACAGAACCATCTCTCTACAGTTCTAGTCTTGTACCTTTTAGGGAATATCTCTTGTGTCTGTTTGCATTTTTTTGAGACAGGGTTTCTCCGTGTAGCCTTGACTGTCCTGAAATTAGCTCCATAGACCAGGCTGGTCATGAACTCATAGACCCACTTAAGGCTATCTTAAGTCACATCATCTACCTAAAACTTTCCTTATCTGTCTCATCAGAGCATTTTCCCTGCACAGCACCAAAGAGGTCTATGAGCCATTTTACTGCTATTTAGTTGTTTTTAATGTGTGGTGATGATCTATTATTACAAACAGAATGCAAAGCCCTTAAGCAACTCTGCTTTGAAATTCTTTGGAAGATTCTACAAAACTTAGTCACTGTGTTATGTGTTAATGGCTTGCTCAGTTAATATGCTTTGGTTGCATTTTTTAAGGTGAAATTGACTCTAAAAATGTTTTAAGCTTCAACCATGATATTTATAGCTAAAATCTAATATCCAGATGGTTCATAGTGATGTATTAAGATTATTTCTTTGTAGATATTCTAGTAGTATAATAACATATTTCCTTTATCATTTCTACTTTTGAATCTATAATAGTCACAGGAATTTGTGACAGCAATATTTTCTAATCTTCTCAAATTCAGATTTTTGACAGGGACAAAGGAAATGGAGGTTCTTATTATGTAGATGAGGCTGCCCAAGAACTCATTCTGTAGCCCAGGTTGGCCTTGAATTCACAATCCCATTGCCATAGACCCTGGGTGTTGGGATTAGCAGTCTATGCCCCCATATTTGTTTTCAAATTCCCATGATTTTATCTAAAATCTTTCTTATTTTGTATGAAGTTTACATAAAGGTCAATAGGGCTGGGGATATAACTCAGTAATAGATTTGTGCTTATATATGTATGATGTGGGACAGCCTTCTGTATGCTGTAAATGTGTTGCCTTTATTGGCTGAAGAATAAAGATGCTTTGGCCTATGGCAAGGCAGAATACAGCTAGGCACAAAATCCCAGCAGAGACAGAAGAAGAAAGAAGAAAAAAAAAAGACGAAAGAAGGTGGAGTGGAGGACAGCTGCCCAAGAAGAAAGCTAAAGGTAAAAAGCTACAAGCCTTGTGGTAAATATAGAACAGTAGAAATGGGTTAATTTAAGTTGTAAGAGCTAGTTTATATTAAGCCTACGCCAACAGTCCAACCAGTTTGTAATTAATATTAAACCCCAGAGTGATTATTTGGGATCTAGTGTGCGGGAGAGAAACTTCCAGTTACGTATGTGGGTTTAGTTCCCAGCATAAAGGCATAGGGCATGATGATTCGGTCTTTTCATCATAACACTTGTGAGCTGCAGGGCCGAAGCACAAGAATTCAAAGCTATCTTCAGCTACATAGTGAATTTGAGGCAAGCATGAACTATATAAGACATATAAACTATATGAGATCTTTAATTGGGCTAGATAAAGGAGTCAGTGGTTAAGTGTAGTTGCTGCTCTTGGAGAAGGACCCAGGTTCTGTTATCAGCTTCCATACAGCAGCTCACAACTGTCTACAACATCAGTTCCAGGGGACTTGTTCTCTTCTGCCGTGCACCATCACTGGGCACACATATGATACACTTCTACACACACAGGAAATATACACATAAAAGAAAAATAAATATTTTAAAAAGAGATAGCACAAAGCTCTATGTATGTTAGTGCTGTCATTCTGTTTGCAGTAACGATGAAATTATGGAAGCAGAAATCCTACATGCTTATAGAATGCCTGTATGTGAACTCTCTACGATCACCTCAAATTCATCATACAAAAACTAGGCATCCAAAGCCAAATGTCTAATGTATTCAAAAGAAAAAATATAGATTTTTATGGTTGGTACATTGGCAACAATAATATGGAAAGCTGCTAAAACATTTTAATGTCTAACATTTGAACTTCCCAGATATTATTTAGGGAATTATCATAAATTCATCACTTTCACTCAAAAGAAAGAATATCTGGTTTCATTAAACCAATGTTATTTCTAAACTTTCACATTTAGGAGACAAGTCTTGGTTAAAGGTCTTCATTACGGGTCAGACTCACATTTAAATGATTAATTTATTTGGCTCCAGAGCACACTGTTGCCATAACCACTGATAAGCCTGAGCGACTAAAACCCAATTGTGCTGAAATTAATTTGGAATTGCCATTCAAATTTCTATCTCTTTGTCAAATCCTGCATCTCAAATTCTTGCAGTCTCAATTAAATGAAGGAACATTTAATTAATTTTGTTGTAGCTTGGAGCACAGAAAACATTTCTGAGAAATGATTTTTTTCCTCCCACTCTTAGAAAAAAATACTGCTGGGATTTTAAATTGAATGATACTCAATGTTCTCCCATCTTCTCTTTCTTCACATCCCAAGAACATCCCTGGCTTTTCTGTGCCATTACCCATACTCTACTTTGCTCACAACAGTGGTTCTCAACCTGGACTCGCAACCCCTTTGACAAACTATCTCCAAAACTATTCACATTATGTTTCATAACAGTAGCAAAATTACAGTTATGAAGTAGTGGTGAAATAATGTTATGGTTGGGGTCACCACAGCATGAGGAACTGTATTAAAGGGTCGCAGCATCAGGAAGGTTGAGGGCCACTGCTCTAGAGTACCCTTCTCCTTAGTTCACTGAGAAAACACCAGTTTTTCCTTTAAATTTAAGCTCAAATCTAATTTGTTTTGTGAAGCTTCCCTTGATTTTCTTTAGGCATATTTAAAAGTTTTCCTCAGCCAGGCAGTGGTGGCGCATGCACGTGGATCTCTGTGAGTTTGAGGCTCGCCTGGTCTACAGAGTGAGTTCCAGGACAACCAGGGGCACACAGAGGAATACTATCTTGAAAAACAATAAACAAACAAAGATTCTCTTCAGCTTGCATATACACATTAGTTATTTATGTGTATTTAAGTTTCACATTTTCATATACCACATGTGTGCATAACAATCAAGGATTCTAATTTTTCATCCTATGTCCTTTACCTAACACATAAGAGGCATCAGATCTAGGGTCTCCTGCATGCTAAGCTAGCATTCTACTATCGAGCTGTATCTTAAACCCCAAACCTATTTTCAGCCCGATTTTAACAATTCCTTTCTTTAATTCCCAAAATATCCCTATTAGTTTAATGTAAATGTCAAGTTCCTTTCTGATCTTGAGCTATGTTGTCGTCCCCAGATGCTTCCATGAGAGCACAGCTGTCTTCCTTGTTCTAACACGTCTGAAAGTGTTCGCTGGCGTCTAGAAAACTGATGGGCAAATTTCAATTTCTCGCCCCAAAATGTGCTGTTAATGAAAGACAAGGTCCTTCACTTTACCAGAAATAGTTTGTCAAAATACTTCTATATTTGGTAATTTCTAAAGGTAAAATGAGAAAGAGCAAACTCATCTCTAATCTTGGAAAATATATTTGAAGAAGCCATTGTGAGTTAACGTCTCCGTCTGGCTTTTAGCGGCGCTTTAGAAAGTGCAGAGAGCAGAACAGTACCTGAGTGATTTATCAGAAACATCTGAGGTTGAGAGTGACTCACCGGTACTCCTTGGTATACTCAAAGTCTTGTTTGTTGTAGGCAGGTTTTAGGAAATTGCACTCAATGACTCCAATTACTCCCACACCTTCTCCACAAGTTGGCTTAGAAGAAAATGTTAATTTCAACACATTACTATTGACAGCCCAGAGGCATTTCCTTTTGATTTCAAAAAAATAATGGAAAAGGTTACACAGTATTCATGGGTAAGGAAAGGCCATGAAGATGTTGAGGAACACTTAGAATAGATTGGATCCTGACCAGTGCAACAGCAAACATTTTCTTTTCTTTTTCTTTTTTTATCCGTTGAAAATAAGACTTTTTCATGTAATATATCCCAGTTATGATTTCCCCTCCCTCTACTCTTCCCAGTCCTTCAGTTCTCCTCCACCTCCCCGCCTATCCGGATCCACCCCCTTTCTGTTTCTCAGATTGTTCAAACAATGATTCACAGATCCCTAGAATTCCTCAGCTCTAGTAACTACCTATACTTCATCCACGCAATTTCACTTGTCATGTGTCTCATATTCTAAGACTGCCAAGAGGTTCACTGGAATAAAGAACTTTCACTACTAAAAAAGCAAGACCATATACTAATGCTCTGCAGAACTGAAATGAAGCCTTCTCCAGAAACTAGAGGTGTGGTGTAATCAGCACACCGAATCTTATAACATAGGGCGTTTCCACACATAGACAAGGCACCAAGGAACTCCCAGAGTCAGAGGTGAAGTGCAAGAGATTTTTAAAGTGTTAAAGTTTTAAAGTGTGCTTTCCTCTTTCCTGACACATAACCAGAAGTTGTTTAAAGATGATGTAACAGGAAAAACCAAGGCCTCACAGTCAGCTCTCCTGGGGCTTAGACAACTGTCCTACCATGTCACACAAAGCAGTGTGACATCCACTGTGTATCAGCCACCTGATCTTCAGACCAAGAATGAAACAGTTGCTTGCGGAAATCACTACTCTAAATGATCATTAAAGCATCAAAGATAATGGTAGCATTTGTAGTATTTGGCTTAGGTAATATTTCGTATCATTTATCACAATCAATCCCTTTTAACCTTCCAAACTTAAAGGAAGATAAATAAAACTTTTTCCACTTTTCTAGCATAGAAATTGAACTTCAAAGGAATTACTTGATTTACCCAGGGATATGCTTTATAGATAGGGCACAAATCTTGATTTCCAACCACTAAATGTTATGAACCTTCCAATATACCTTTACTGTCTCCACAAGATAATAATTAGAGCTATTTGACACGTTAATAAGCTGATACACACGGTGGGACTGAATTCTACTCTTTAAGAATAGATACCTAGTTGGCCTGTCAGCACCTGAGAAATAACAGTTTTTTTTTTTTCACACAGGACTCCTTGTCTATTGATGCAGAGCTTCAGCATCAGAATCTAATAACTGACATGACATGGGGCTGAAAACCATTAATGAATCTGTCTTCCCTGCGATTCTCTTCCCATTCTTCGCAGGCCTCTATGACAAAGTGACAGTAACCACTCACCTTTAACTGGCAGCCCACCTTCTCAAAGGCCTTAATAAGGCGGTTGTTATGATACATCATTACTCCAAACTGGTTATGGTATTTGCAAGAGAATCCAAACGTGATTTTCACCTGCTTATTCTGAGAAGAAAATCATTAAGGAGACAAATACTAGAGGTTTCAGGAAAAAAGAAAAGTATTATAAAAACAAAAGTTCCACCAAATATCTCTACATGTAAATCAATGTAAACCTTCAAGAAGGTATTTAAAAACACAAGCAATCGCTTGTTCTACCTTTTTATTTTTTTGAGACAGGAACAGCCTGGCTATTCTGGAACTTGCTCTGTAGACCAGGCTGGCGTCGAACTCACAGAGATCCTCCTGCCTCTGCCTCCCGAGTGCTGGAATCAAAGGCGTGTGCCACCAGTGCTTGCTCTACTTTTTCGACTACTTTTGTGAGCTAGCTATACCATCTCTTTCTTGCACAATAAACTGAATCTCTGAAAGCATGAGCTAAAATAACCCTTTCTTTCCTTAGTTTCTCTTACTATCTGTCACAGAAATAAAAACCAAATACCTTACACAGTCTCTGTAAATGACAAGCTATGTACATCAATACCATATGATAAATGGATTAGATAGGATGGGAAATGTGATACAACTGGTAAACCTAGTACTCTAATATTTGACTCAGAACATATCAAGTTTTTGGGTTCTAGGAACTCAAGACAAACTTCAAATAGGATCTTATTCCAAAACAAAAGAAAAAGAAATAAATAAAGTTTTCTACTTTCCCAAATCAATCAAAATTCTCACACCACAAAACTGACATTTTAAAGATAGTGATTGTCAAATTTATTTATTTTTTTTTTTGCTGTACACATTTAAAATTGTGAGGAATGGGCCGAGGGTACCCTGTGGGAAATGTACGGAATTTGTATGTAGAGCACAGAGAAGAGCGATACGGCTTTTCTGATGACCGAAGAGGAAATAAATCAGGGAAATAGTTCCAGTGCTTGGGATTTCATTTCCATCACGCCAACAGTGATGCTGTTTAGCTGGAACTGTAGTGTGATAAATAGCTGAATTCACAGGAGAGGGGCTGAGAAAATCCAGAAAAGAAGCACTGAAGTCGGCCTGAGAGAAACCCCCAACAGGAAGAATCCACGCTCGGGAAAGGGACATATCGTAAAATAGAAGCAGAAAAACATGCAGTTGGAAGGACTCTGCTAAATGCACAGCACTACAGTCCTAACCTACACAAGGTGAAGTTATAAATGACGATCTCACTTGCTAGCCCTGACTCTAAGTTGAGTTTACTTAGGGCTTTAAGAGAAAACTTCCTAGTAGAGAAGGTATGTGTTTCCAAAAAGGAAAAAAAATCCACTGTGAGTACACAGTTTATTTTAAATGAACAATTTCTAATTGTGGCAGTAAGAAAAAAGACCAAGGAAAATAATGTCTTGATTTGAAAAATGCAGAGAACATGTCTATAGGGCCAAGAGTTGTATTTCTGGTTACTAGAAAATAAAAAAAACAAGTTTTCATAAACACTTGATTTCTCTGCCTTCTGAAGACTATTTCCCCCACCAACACCAATGACGATGGTTAATTAGCATAACTCATCGCAAGAATGTCCCTAGTATGTGACATCCACTTGCAGGGCAATGAGGTGTAGAAAATGAGCAAGCGCTCTTCTGGATGGCTGTCATTATGAAAAGTTCCCAGGAAGTCCATGCCGAGCTTGAGAGTGATTCATCTCCTCCTAGAAATAACTTTAATTTCCACTCACTAATTCGCATCCAAGTCTAAATCTGGACCTAGTACAACATAAACTGTAAGCTGAACAATGCCAACTAAAACTTTTTAATCAAACGTGATGAGAGTGACTATGGATGGGCTTCTCAAATCTGACTGCCTACTGGCATACAGAGAGGATTTAAAAACAAATATAGATAATAAAAAAGATTTCAAAATGAGGGGTGGCAGCAAATGATTGCGATCTTAGCACTCCAGAGGCTGAGGCAGAAGGATCACCTCAAGTTTGAGGCCAGCCTGTGCTGCACAATGAGTTCCAGGCCAGTATGGAATACTGTGAGAGGCCCTGTCTTCAGATAAATAAATAAGTAAATCAATATTAGATTTTAAAATATAACTGAGCCACAGTCTTCAAACTCATTATGACTTTTATTTCATAATCTGTCAGTTTCTGATAAAGCTGGTGCACCAACACTTAAAAAATTATTCCTTCAATGGTAAGGTTTCAGCCCACAATTTTGACTGTTTTAGCACACAACTTTGAATCGGAATAAGGCAGGGTTGTGGCTGCATACCAATAGAGAGATTTGAAGAATGAAGACGTCAACTGCAAGGAAGGATACGGTGAAGGGAGACGTATACACATCGTGCTCCACATTGGCAAGGCTCTTAGCAATCATCTGGGTAGTCACCTTCTTTTGCCGCAGAAAAATCTTCATCCGCGGCTTCATATATAGAACACTACAAAATGCCTATAGATTTGTGAAAGGCAAATTGTTATGTATATCACCAACTCTACAGATATCTCCCCAAATCATCACCAGCCAACTGGGCCCAGGCTTGCAAATACTTGGCTGAGTTTCTATACATTTTCACAATGCATTAGCTACCATTCCAAGACGGAAGTAGCTATATTCACGAACTGCTTCAGCGTAGACGGTGAAAAGAAATCCCAGCAGAGCATCATCTCTACACACCTGCGCTTCAATTCTGTTATACGATATTTTCACGTTACAGGAAATCGTACTTCTCACGGCTGAAGGACTATTCTCACTCACCCGTAGGGAATACTCTGTTTCTGGCGGCTTGGAGGGAACACCACCAATCTCCCTTTCTTCAGCATCGAAGTCTGATACTAGGATATCATATTGATCTGTATCAAAGTCCAGCTCAGACTTTCCATCTTTGTTTCTAAGTAAAATAGACAAGTACCAATTTAAAGAACTGGCTCCAGCGGGCTCGCGGGGGCAGGGGATGCATTAAGAACTCAACACAAGTGAAATATAAGTCAATACTCAGGTATATGGTGCTTTTTCTGACTGCCACTCCAAAGGAACTATGAACTATGCAATTTGAGGACCACACAGTAATTAAGTTGTTCCTGTTCTGAATCAATCTACCCTGTTTCACAGTGCTGCTGATGCCAGGTTCATAAGGAAAGACAAGAAGTGGTGTTAAATATCTGGGATCTGATGAGTAGAACGGATGTCAGCTACCCTCAAAGCAAGATCTTAAATACCAGCTTTCTGACTGCTGCCAAAGAAGTCACTAAATAGCACTTGTTCCAACTTAATGATCATATCCACCCAAGTCAATTTCTGCTGGCTTCAGCAGCAGAATAGGAACTAATAAGATGCCAGCATTTCCCCCAGATCTAGTTCTGTATCTCCCCACCCCCAAGACAGGGTCTCACTATGTATTTCAGACTGACCTAGAACTTACTTTTATAGACCAGGCTGGCCTCAAACTCTGAGAAATCCATCAACCTCTTCTGAAGGGCTGTGATTAAAAGCATGCACCATCATGATGCCTGGCCTAGCACTAGGACTTAAATGGCTAAAAGGCAACACACACACACACACACACACACACACACACACACACAGAGAGAGAGAGAGAGAGAGAGAGAGAGAGAGAGAGAGAGAGACCTACTACTACTGCTACTACAGAACACTACTTATTTTCTAGTCTCTAAAATATGGAATGATAGTACACATATAAGAACACTGGCATCCCTTTCATATGGACATTTCTTACTCTCAATCTTTTTTGGGGTACTTAGCTTTCTAAGTACTTGAAAGGCTACTTCCCTCCCCCTCCAAGACATGGGCAAGCTCTCCATTCAATAGCAGGGGGAAAACCATAAAGAATCATTTTTGTTCCTGAAAATAAAAAAAAAACTTTCTAAATTTGTTTTTTAAAAGACGGATTACAGAGACAATCGCTGTTTTAAAACAATACTTTTTGAAATTCATTCTGTGGAACAGTAGTTCCTGGAGATATTCTTAATTAAGAAAAAAAGAAATAAAAGTTATGTGAACAAATAAAATTGAGACACAACTCTTAGCTTATAGAGGCACCTCAGGCTCTAACGTTAACCCCCTTCACATTCAAATTCAAGCTCAGAGTTGCTATAGGCTGAAAACTTAGCTCCACTCTCAAAGCTGACCAGGGACCACTGTGGCATCCAGCCTGTATAAAGCCCACACCACATTAAAATTGGATCCTGGATTTTTCAGTATATCTGTGATTCTTACTATCCTAGAACACTCTAGTACAGACACTCTGAGAAAGGCCCCTATCTTCCCTGCCCCTTGCCTTTGCAAACCAAGAAAAAAGGTCTGGAAAAACCTTTTTGTTTTTTAAAAAAAATGGATATACTAATACCATATTATCTTAAATATTAGCACATGAATGTGTCTAAAGTCTTTCAAGAAAGCAATACCATAGGCTTTAAGGCAGCTTTTCTCAACATTATTTAACCATGCAAATAATTTTAATTATAACTAAGGAACAATGCACAAAGGGAAAGTGTGTTTAATATGTGTAAATCATTGAAAATACTACATCAGAACAGTCCCTGGTTATTATACACATCATATCATTAAGCTTTTCTCAATAGGACATATGAGCTCTCCTTACCTTTTATTTTTAATTATAATTACACTGTTGGTATAAACCAGTATTCTTTTAAGACACACACACACACACACACATATATAGCTAAGAAGTTAGAAAAGTGCTTGACATATAGGGAAAAAATGAACATATTTGTGAATTGTTCTATTAAACACATAATCATTCAATGCTATATTAAAAGCTATTAGGGTTGTGTGTTTACACTTTAATGCACTCTTAAATGTATCCTATTTGCCATGCCAAAATTAAAAAATGCATCATAAATTTTTTCTTAATTGTTGTATTATCTTTAAAGTTACGATCTTAATACAGCTTCATTACAGTAAAAACGACCTGCTTCAAAGATTGTCTATTCCAGATGCATAAATACAGAATTTCTTCTTTTCATGCTATCACTTAAAAACTAAGTATTTCATTATAATCTTTCTTATTAATTCATTTTAATTGGTGAATGCATAGAATAACCATCATCTGCCAATCTTAAAGCAATGTCAATAAACATGGAATGGAAGTGTAAAGGATTCTGCAGATGTCACAGTAATGCCGTGTTGTATTATCATGATCATTAGTGGCTACAACCTCAGGCTATGCATGTTTTCATCTTATATACGCACCATTTGATCACCGAGAACCACTATTTCAACAGAATCAAGGAAGTTACAGAGAGCTAACTTTCTCACTATGTATCTAATCTAATCTAGGAAATAACTTCTCAAAATGTACTTTATCATACAATGCTGGCTTATTAGAATCTAACACCCCTGGAATACCATACCTCCGGACATTCCAAATGAGAACACGGGTGCCTTTTTTGCCTGGAATGGCATCAAACTGGGATAGCAGGTCTTTTTCACTGTTGAAAATTGAATAGTTCAAGATGGCTTCTAGGCTGGGCAAAGAATCTTCAGTAACAACCATTTTTTGTAAAAATAAATCAGTCAAAGAAAATATCTTATGAGGATGATATCAAGAAGAGTCATAATGAAACTGGCTGGGTCACAGAAAGGGACATGAGAAAAAGGAGGGCTAGCTGAGAAGAGGAAGAGGATCAGTGGGAGGGGCCAAGAGAGGGTGGGGTAAATATGATCCAACACAGTATATACACAAGAATTTGACGAGACACATTATTATACAGTTATACAAACTAATAAGTACTATAAAGAGGGCCTTTGGGGTTTCATGTAGACACAAAATCGACATGAAAGGGACAGGCATTACTGCTACAAGAAAAAGGAAGTGGAGAGTTGAGAACAGCTGTTTGTTGAAACATGAAAATCAGTTATACTTGCTGAATACAGCTGCAAAGATGCGAAGGAAACAAAGAAAGTGCTTCGTCTGACCAAAAAAAAAAAAAAAAAAAAAAAAAAGGCCGAAGGCCAAAATTTTAACTATCTGAAAGCAGCTGAGTCCCATTCTTCCTGCTGTATTCTTCCATCAGAAATGAGAGTCCATCCAGGTACGGACAAATGAACCATTCTGCTAGCAGGATAATCTGGGAAGTAGGACATTGCAAGAAGCATAACCACAAATGCAGTTAGCCCTTATGGAGCAAAGGCCCCGAGAACTTTACCACAGAACAGTGTCTAGCAAAAAAGTAATTGTATAAATCAAACTTAACAGTGAGAATTTGAACACATAAAACAATTAAACTTCTGCTAATGGTCCAGTATTTTAAAAAATATTTTAGCTACGTTCCAGATGTCTGAATAGCTTTTTAAATATAAAAACATTTGAAATAGTAAATATCAAGTAACCGCTGGATTTGACCCATAGAAGAGGTTCCACCAAAACAGTCAAACTAATATTTAATCAATTACTCTCCATTTATAGGAAGGATATTGCTTTGCTGGCTGAATGGGACAATTGGTACAATAACTGCCTGGGCCTGGATACACTCCAGGTAGGTCTGTGACAGAAGTCCAACAGTGAGGGTACCCCCATTCTTGGTGAAGACAAGAGCATCTTTTCCTAGGCGCATGGAGCCCGACTTGAAACCATTACCAAAGACCCCGATGGGACACTGGCTCTTCTTTATTACTTTATCTGTAAAGCCAAAGCTGAAATTACAGAAGAAAAAAGAAATGAGCAAGGTAAAAAGCATCCTAGAATAGTTCGCAGAGAGAATGTTTAGCTTGCACATGCGGAACAGCAACAAGTTCTGTTTTCACTCCCTTTGGTACTTCCAGGCAAAACATAGGAAATTACGATTGAGCTATGATACCAATTTTCCAGTGTGGCTTGTGTGTACTTAAATATTAAATAGTTCTATATGCCAGAGTCACACTTTGTAAATGAAATGCTCCCATTGGCTAACATAACAGCAGGAGCCAGGGAAGGCCCTGTGCAGCTGCTTTTCTTGTTTAGATGAATCGGGCTGACTGCTCTGAGTTGTGGCTGTATGAAGAGAGTTGTTACCTGGAGAGGGTCATAAAAGTATCAGTGGTGCTAAGTGAGGTACTTACACTAAGCGCCTTCTCGTCTGGTCACATCATTCGCCAAAAATCTAAAAGAGATCATTTATCTTGACAATTCCAACTCCCCACCCAAAGGATAACCCTCCTAATTCTAAGCCTCTGTTTCATCGGCTGGGACAGTTCACTGGAACACTGCCAAGGGACAAAAATAGGTAGTCCTGCCTGGGAATATCTGCAGACAGCTGCAGTATAAAGTCTCTCTTGTTCTATTAAAGGCCTCTCACTGAGTCACCTCAGCAAACTCTGCAGCCCCTTGTCATCAGCCTACTCCGAGAGTCAAAATCCTTCCCTTTCTTATGTTTTCCATTTAGGTACTCAGATACACATCCAAATGACAGAATACAAAGTATTTAAACATTAACACCTACAAAATGAGCTTCCTCTTGTATCCTCCAGCACCACAAAGAAATGCTAATTTTGAGAACTGTCTATCTCCAGATTACCCAATTTCACAAAGATGTACACTGCCATTAGCTTACTATTCATTGATGCCCTATGACTTGTGCATTATGATAAGCACTGGAGACGCAAATGGTAATACGACCCATATGATTCTTGCCCTCATAGCTGATGATAGCCAACAGGACTTCATGTATTAGCTGCTTCTCCAGTATCAATGAAAGAGACACTAGCTCCATATGGCACAACCGAGCAGGCTGCTTCTGGCTTTACTCTTTCCAGTGGGAGAAGGGTTCAGCTACCTGATTTCCATTTCCAGAGGACTGTGCTTTTGTGTTTACTACCCAATAAAAGGGACCAGCCTTCAATTTTCTGTTAAAGGATGTTATGTAACAGTGTACTGATGTTCCCTAGGTCTCTGTGCATCCTACAAATAAATCTAATGTGAGCTGAAAGCAATTTTCAGGGAAGTGGTCCTCCAAAAAGAGAACACTGAGTTAATGTTATGTTTGGGCCTTAATGATTCCAGGAAGAACGGCTTATAAACTGCTAAGATTCTGATATTTTTATCTTTAATTTTAAACTGATTCTAGGATTTATTTTGAGAACAGGAATGTACTGTTCCTTATCTGTCCTCCGGATCTAATGACACATCTAAAATTCAGGGCTCTTCATAAACAGGCCTGCCACACAAAATGAATTTGTATGGTCATTTGGATTTTTTTTTAATATCACAAAACTTTACATTAGGTAGTCAAGGGAAAGTGGTACAACAGGCAATCAGTCTGTCTCTTATTTTCTAGTCTCCTCTACTTTTTGTCACCTATTACCCCCCAATGTACACAGGTATTAGATATTGTAAGGAGAACAGATGGCAATATAAGGGTGAAAAGGTAAGTAACAGGCCTGAGTCAAAACCAGGATGGAAAAGGATAAAAGAAAGGCGAAGAGACAAGGAAGCTTTAGACTTGGTTCTGTTACTAACATTTCCATGTGCTGTTTCAACTAAGGTCCCACGTTAAGCATTCTATTTAACTGCAAATACCTAAGACAAGAGCGCTCACCATACTTAATAACAGAAATGTATCAGGTTGTATAGCTTTATATAGCTAAAATAATTTCAGAAGAGCTATCTTGGCTTAGATGGCTCATCTTCACTAAGTTGTTAATCTTGTTCTATCCTCTCTTGTAACAAATACTATTGTCTATACACCAAGGGACTTGAAGACTGGTACTCTCGATGGAATACAATAATATAGCAATTTTCTCTCAAATACCCTTAAGATGTCAGGAATCTAGATTCTAGAGAGATGAATTTAAGTTGGTTTGCTAGCCGGGTGGTGGCGCACGCCTTTAATCCCAGCACTCGAGGGCAGAGGCAGGCAGATCTCTGTGAGTTCAAGGCCAGCCTGGTCTACAAATGCTAGTTCTAGGATAGGCTCCAAAGCTACAGAGAAACCCTGTCCCAAAAAAACAAAAATAGATAGATAGATAGATATAGATAGATAGATAGATAGATAGATAGATAGATAGATAGATAGATAGATAAAATTTGGCTGCTGACCAATGAAACACGCCTTAGCAAAACTCCAGGGAAATACACAAGTAAGCATTTGTGGGCTTGTTTCCTAGGCATAGTGGTGATCTAACTTGTACTATAAGTGACTGAAAGACTGACAAGCAAGCCAGACAGTGGTGGTGCACACCTTTAATCCCAGCATTCGGGAGGCAGAGGCAGGCAGATCTCTGTGAGTTCGAGGCCATCCTGGTCTACAAAAGCTAGTTCCAGGACAGGCTCCAAAGCTACAGAGAAACCCTGTCTCAAAACAAAACAAAACAAAACAAGACTGACAAGCAGGCTGTTACTCTCTGGCTGCTGTCTTGGAGCAGACAGACCTACTATGCTCTGTGATTCTGAGTGAGTGGAGGCAGCAAAGGCCTTCGATCTGACTTCGTGCTTCTTTTTAATCCTTGACCTTTGGAAAAGGCTTCCCATCTTCCTGGGAAAGGCTGCTGAATGGATATATACTGATTCCCATACTATCCAGGAAGCCAAAAAGGACAGAACAGTAGGACTTAAAAAAAACTGAATGAAAGATTTTCTTTGATTTAGTTTTGTTCTTCCCCTTGAGGTGCCTTCACATGCCAGGCAAATGCTCACTTACTCAGAGGAACTACCTATTCAGCCCAGACTTTCCTTTTGTAGCTTACTTTTCATGGGTTTCTGTGTTTATGAAAGAAGCTGCTCCTTCAGTTTTGCACCCTAGTTTATCAGCCTGAAAACAGGAAGAGTAGCAATAATGAGTCACGAAAACAGGCTCAGGATACCGATAAATGTCAGAGGGCAAACAGAATGCCTATAGGCTTAATACTTTCACATGCTTTGCACAATGACTTCTAGTATTTTTCCAAATATAAAATAAATGTAGCACAAAATGAAAAACAGAAAAAATACCTTACACAGTAATATATCAAAACTACCTCTAAAGTTTACATTTTTTTTCCTTCAAAAACTGTGGTGGGCTAGGGCTGTGGAGACCAGCTAGAGCAGTACTTGCTGGCTGTGTACAACATATTGCTAGAAAAACAATTGTGGGAAGTGAAGTCTTGGGTGGAATAGATTAGACTAAATGATCTCCTTTAAATAAACGATATACTTTAGCTAGTGTGCATTTACTCTGAGATAAAATCACAAGAAAAATCCAGTATACACACTACATAAAGTACTCATTAGCACAGTTTCCTAAAATTAAGTTTTAAATATAAAAAAAAATGTGCTCCATGAAAATCAATGGGAAATATATCTGGTGTGGTGGGGAAAAAATGTTATGGCTATGTAAGGTCCTGTTTTGGCTTCTTTGGGTGAGGCCAAAATTTTGAATGGGTGATACTGATCCTTCATATTTTACCTGAAATGTCGTTTTGTGAGCCATCAAGATGTCTCAAGTAGGCAAAGGTACTTCCACCAAGCCTGAAGGCCTGAGTTCAATCCCCCAAACACATGATGGAACAAGAGAGCAAACTATTCAAAGTTGTCCTCTGAATTCCACATACAGGCTTTCCAACACACACACACAGAGACATACACACGCACGCACATACACACACACAAGGTATTTCTTTGTGTAGCTTTTTTTTAACTTCATAGGCTAGATTCATTTCCTTCTGCTAAATGGACTCAAAATTTGTACTCTTTCTTACCACTTACCTCTGGGTGAAAGAGCTTAGCCAGCTTCCCTTTTCCACTATACTGTCGACACTTGTAGAGCAAAGATTATATCTGCCTAGGTTACCACTGGCATTTGAAATAAGGCTTTGCTTCTGATTCATTCATTCATTCATTCATTCATTCGGTAGGAATTTATTGAATGAATGAGTGATTATTCTTGAAAGTATTTTATTTTTACTTTATGTAAATAGGTATTTTGCCTGCATGCATTTCTGCACATCGCATGCATACAGTGCCCATGGAGGAAAAAACAGGGTGTCAAACTCCCTAGAACTGGAGTTACAGACATGTGTGAGTCACCATGTGGATGCTGGGAATTGATCCCAAGTCCTCTAGAAAAAGAGCCAGTGCTCTTAAACATTGAAGCATCTCTCAGGGCCCTGAAATTATTTTTAAATCATCCTCTTCTTCCCTTCTTTCTTATAACTATCAACTTTCATATAAATAGATGACAGAAAAAATGGAAGGTGTTTCTATATTTGCTGGACCTACTGTTTGGTGCTCACATAACTGGGATAAGGTGTTGTGGGAGGAAGTCAGTAAGTAAGGTGATCAGTGAGAGCTAGGGAGGGGGCTCGGTGAGTAAGCCGCTTGATGAGTGAGCAAGAGCACCTGAGTTCAGGTCTCCAGCACCCACATAAAAGCCTACACTCAACAAAGCATACCTATAACCCCATCATCGAGGAGGTGGAAACAGAGGGATTATCTGGGGATTGCTGGCATGCTAGTCTAGATGAAAGTAAAACCCCAGGTTCAATGGGGAAAAGAAGGGGGGGCGGTAGAGTAATTGAGGACAACATCTGACAACAACCTCTGGCTTTCACAACACGGGCATGCATGTACACACAGATACACAAACATGCACATACACACAAACACATACAAAAAACAGGTGACCAGCAATTTCAGAGAAATGTTGTAATGCAGAATTAGACATAAATATTAATAGTTCTATCCTATGTCGATTGTCTTCTTTTTAGCATGTACTATTAATTCTAAGAATAAAACTGATGTTTTGAATTAGAAAATCAAATCAAGTCTCTACCTCCACATTTACCACATACTGGACATACTTGGTCTCACTTCTAGAGATTTCCCTTGAGTTTTTGTTGGTTCTGTCTTATTTTGGCAAAACTCTGTAGCACAGACAAGCCTAGAACTCTCAATATGCCTAGCTTCTTCTCCCAAATTCTGGGATCACAGGCATGCACTTCCATACCTGGCACTCAAACATTCTTCTAAATGAGACTAAGAGAGTAAGGGCTGGAGAGGTGGCTCACTGGTTAAGAGAGTAAGGGCTGGAGAGGTGGCTCACTGGTTAAGAGAGTAAGGGCTGGAGAGGTGGCTCACTGGTTAAGCACACCAGTTGTTTTTCCAAAGGACCTGGGTTCAATTCCCAGAACACATATGGCAGCTCAGAGCTTTCTGTAGGTCCAGTTCCAGGGGATCTGGGACACTATATGTACACAAAACATGCATATACATAAAACAAAATATTTTTTAAAGAAAGAGAGATTAAGGTAAAAGATACACAGACTGCTGAGTAGCAAAATATAACCTCTTACTTTGACCAAATTTCATTTTTGTTTCTTTGAGGAAAAAGGGATTTCCTACAAACATCTACTAATTCAAAACACTTTCCAATAAAACTACAAGACAATGAATTTGTTTTCCAATTTTAGGATTCTGAGCCCTTTCACTCCTGGTCAGCACTGCTCCATTGTTACCCACGCTTTACATGCTCCAGTTCAGGAAGCACACTGAGAGTTAACAACCACATCTGCTCAAAAGGAAAAAAAAAGAAGGAAAGGGTTGAAGAAACACCCATCTTGCACCAAGTGATATGGGGAGACAATAAAGCACAAACATTCACCACCACAAACGTTGAAAAATAAGTAAACGAACTCAGTATGTCAGTGGGAATTTATCTTCAGCTTCACTGGTCAGAAAATACCCTTTCTTAACTCCACAGCTCTATGGTAAACCTTCCAAGACTATGTATGTGAAGCCTTTAATTCACCTTGCATGGGGTTTCCTTATGCTCAAGCACTTCACAGTTCTGACCCATGAGTCATCCCAACTCCAGTACTTAGGCCTTAAGAAGAAGTTTAGGTGAATTATGAACTGGAGAAAGGGATCAGATAAATGAAGAAATTCAGGGTTTTATTTAGAACATTTTCTCTTCTTGAACTGCCAGGCCTTGCTCCCTACCCTTTCTTACCTTGTTAAATTTGAGCCATCCTTCACATCTCAATGTGAACAGCATTCTAACTAGGAGGCTTTCAGAGACCTCTGAGATCCCATGTATCCCATGCTTTTCTATTTTTAAGCTTAGAGTCTTTTATTATGGTTACTTGCCTCAATCATCTGAATTGGCAGCTAGATTCTAAGTTCCTTGCAGGTAGAAATACTGTCTGCTTCACAGTCAGAGTCCTCACACTAAGATATGCTTCATAAGTATCCATAGTGTAAAGAGAGATAAGTTAAAATACTACAGACAAGTTATCGAGCTGCAAATAAAGTTTGTGAAATCAAGATAAAGACATCGAATAGAGACGTTTTTACCTGAGCATTCGGTGTAGTTTGTGAGGCGTCATCCCACATCCATCATCAGTAAATGTCAAACAAGGCTTATTCTTGACCTCCTCAACATCTATAAAGACTGTCCTGGCAGATACATCTGGGTCTACAGCATTATCTGCAAAAAGGAGAAATCGATAATCTACCAAAACCTCCAGTTCAGTACCAAGACATATAAATCTGTCTTTAATTCCTTCCTATGAAAGTCCCAGGAGGTAATGATGGAAACAATAACAGTGGTGTGCTTACTGAGTTACAGAGAACAGTGGACTTGATGGCAGACGGAGCCATGAAGCTGATTTCTAGGTTTCACAGAATGGATGATCCTGCAGTCTGATTTTCTCCTTATAAAAGTCAGGGTCTATGGGAAAATGGGCTATTTGCAAAGCATTTTTCTCTGATTTGGCTTTCCTACCTCTTGCCTCTAAGACACTTTACAGCTCACAAACACAGTGAAAGGTGGATAGAGTGAACAAATTGAGCCAGCACTTTGGGTAAAAAGAATGGATGTTATGTACATTACAGTTTCTTTGTAAAAAGGAATTATCTTTTGCTTTTTGATATCCTCTGGAACACGGGTATTGATGTGGTGGTGCACACCTTTAATCCCAGCACTAAAGGGACAGAGGCAGGATGATCGCTGTGAGTTCAAGGCCAGTCTGGTCTACGTAGCAAACTCCAGGACAGTCATAGATATCAGAAATACATAGTAGAGAGTCTCTCCCTCTCTCTCTCAAACACACACACACACACACACACACACGTATTTTTGCTATCCCTGTTTATAGTTATAAAGACCTTAAGGAGTCACAGGTTGAAATTAAAACATTTAATTGTCTACTTAAATCCTAGCAATGGCAACAAGCCTGTTTTGAGAGAAACAGTGATTCCGCTGTTTTTCTCTGTGTTAAATGTGAGGATTTCTAGCCCTTGAAATGGAGATCCAAATTAATGTAAAAAAAACTTCATAGAAACTTCCATGATTCCTCCTGAAGCATATCTTCACAAACAGCGAATTATTTTCAAACTTAACCATATTAAATATGTCATGTCCTCTATGCCAGAGACTACCACTATCTGAAAGGCCACATCGATTGCCATGGGCACCAGTTTACACAGTCATTAACTGGTGTGGATTACTAGTCTCAGAAGGCTTCACTAGTTCTGTTAGAAGTGTATTCTATACAAATGGTGGATAGTACTATTGCTTGGCTATGGCTTGTGCCCTAAAGGCTGCCTTTGGTGGGATGAAGAGATGGCAGGACCTTTAAGAAGCAAAGTCTAATACAATATAATTAGGTCACTGAGGATGCTGCCTTGGAAGGGACAGATACTGTCAAATTTGAAAGGACTGGATTACTTTCTACTAAAATGAGTTGTTTTAATCCAAGGCCACCCTGTGTGTTTGGCTCCTTCTGTACATGTCGAGCTCTGTTTTGACTTCTCTGGCACATTGTGATGCCTTGTGATGCAGCTAGGGGGCCCTTCCAGGAAGGCTGGCATGATGCCATTTGGAAATTCCAGGAGCCAGAATCATGATTCAAATAAACTTCTTTATTTACAATGCATTTATGCTTGGGCATTTTGTTAGAGCGACACAAAATGGACTTCTATAGCTAGGTACCTACATCATTTCAATTTCTACTAGGTTTTTTAAGCAACAGAGATCTTCCTTTCTATATATCCTTCCCTGTCTTGCTGACATTCTATATGACTTTACTGATACCATAGAGTTGGCCTGAGATAGCCATGTGGGGTCCTGATCAATATCATTGAACAAATCATGTCATTTCTCCATTGGGAACATCTCTTAGAATCAAGAAAAGTATTACACTTACTCAAAATACACATTTTTACAATATAATTATCAGTATCAGTTACAGCCACTTGGATGTGTGGAAAGTCTGCCAAATAAAACGAGAGTCAGATTAATTTCAAGCGATACGACAGTGTTGCCAGTCATTGATAAAACTGTTACTGGCTACAATCTGAAAAAAATCTGACAGCCCCAGAAAGGGGTTACGAGGTCTAGTACAGTGGATTTGTAAGATCCAAGGAGGCCCTAAGCCCCATGTAAACGTGGCATTAGTACCGGGGCTATATTTGAGCAGAAGTCACACGTTGATAAGCAAAGGAAGCATTACCAGAAATGCAGTTCTTTACTTTGTAAGAGGCAGTTTTTTTTTTTCTTAACCATCAGGAAGACCTAGCATTTTACATCTGTCAGCATTCAGGAAATTTTACTTGGCATGCAGGCTCTTATCAGTCACTCCTGCTGGTAGACAGCCAAAGCCATTGAGACCAATACAACTTGTCAACCAGCTGGATAGCATTTATGCATGGAAAATGATGACTATCAAGGACCTTTTCTAATACTTTATGGACATTCCCAGTTCAAACACACAACGCACCCTGATTCCAATTACACACATGTACACTGGGACGTGAAATGAATCAATTTATGGGCCTCAACAAAATCACTTCTCTTTTCTCTCTATTCAAAGTTTGGGCCAAACTTCACTAGGTTGTTTTTATTTGTTTGGTTGTTTTCTAGGAGTGGACCAAAGAACAAAGGCAATTCATGAGTTACATATCTGGAACAGTCACATATGAGTGGTGGCTTCATGAAGTACAGAGAATATGGGGCCCAGGAGAGGTCAGAGTCGGATAGTGCATCAGGGAAATTGAGATCAGTGGGCATGGACTGGCAAGCAAAGCTTTGCATTTAATTCCTGGCTCCATGTGGCCTTTTATGAGGCCTCAACAAATGATAGTTTAACAATATGATCAGTCCAATGGATGAACTTCTACGGTGCTGGCAAGGCAAGCAGTTTCAATCCTACCTCCTGTTGTTCAGCACGGTAAGAACTGGCCAAATGTGTAGCATATCCTATCACATCTCAGGGAATCCATCTTCTAGCCCAGTCCAGCCCATTCAGACCATGAACACATATAACGAGAGAACCCTAACTCCTTTACCTAGAGTTAGATGAGAGCTGTCCCATCTTCATCTGGATTCACAATCTACACACTAATACACTCTTACCTCTTCTCTCTTAGTTTGTGCCATCTCTTAGCGAGAGGGCCCTAGCTCCACCTTGCCTTTGGCTACCAAGTTACTTTAGCAAGAACATGAAAATCCTTACAGCCTAAGCGGTTCCACATTCACCCTCTACATGATTCCTTGTCCTTTTTTTTTTCTTTTTTCGTCTTATTTGGTTTTTCAAGACAGAGTTTCTCTGTAGCTTTGGAGCCTGTCCTGGAACTAGCTCTTGTGGACCAGGCTGGCCTCGAACTCACAGAGATCCGCCTGCCTCTGCCTCCCCAGTGCTGGGTTCCTTGTCTTCAAAAGAAAAGAGTTCTGTAAGTGAAGACTCATCCCTCATGGGAACTTGGTGGTACCTGGTGGTGGCGGTAGCAGGAAAGGAGGAGCCTAACAAATCTTTCAGTGAGAAGAGAGATAAGGAAGGAGAGCCTGCTTTGAAACTTCACAAGCCTCCATCTGTTCCTGCTTCAGTACGTGGAGATGTGCAAGGTTGCCAGGGAAAGGCTACTGCGCCACAAGGCAATTTGCAAGCAGATAGAAATATAAAAGTAAGGTAGGTCATTTTTGGTCACAAGGCTATTCTTTGCGCGCACACACACACATACACACACACACATGCCCAAAAATTCCAATGGCCAGTACAACTGGAGTTGTAGCTCCATAGAATACTTACCTAGTATGTGTGAAACTGTGAGTTTGGTATTTAAAAAGATGTTTTTCTGGAGCTGAAGAGATGGCACAGTGGTTAAGATCAATTGCTGCTCTTGCAGGGGATCCTGACTTGGCTTCCAGTACCCACTGGCACAACTGTCTACAATTCAAATTCCAAGGGATCTGATACCCTCTTCTAGCCTCCCTGGGAACTGTCCTCATTTGTGCGGGTACATTTACATACAAGGTAAAACATCCATACACATAAAAATAACAAATCTTTTTAAAGCTATTTTTAATCCATCCATCTTTCTGCTCTATACACTTCCAGGTTCTGTTACATCTTGCTTTTTCTGCTCTCATTGTCATTTTTCTTAACTTACAAGGGTTTATCCCCTCTCATCTGTATTATTGCAATCGCTTTCTAATAATCTTAAAAACCTACGTCTCTCTTCTCCAACTCCTCTCGGGTAAGATCAACCACCCCGAAGGAGCGCTCTAAGCACTAACTCTCCTTGTCAGGCTAGCAGGTCAAATGTCAAGCCTCCCAGCCACATCCTGGTTGCAGCTCACCTTTCTAACCTCATTTCCTACTTGGAATTTAAGCAAAATGACCCATGTTTGTGCCCTCAACCTGCCACTTACTTAGACATGTGACCTTAGAAATATACACTATCTCCAATCCTCCTTTTACTCGTCTTTGAAAAAAAAAACACTGCTCATTTCCAAGGATAAACTACAAGGATATGTTTGAAAGCTCTTTCTTAATCAGTTAAAAGCATGTGCTTTTCGACTGTTTATGAACTCGGTGCTCTAATTAAATTCAAGGACCAAGTAGACAGTCTTCACGCTTTTGCTCAACCACTTCTTCCTGTGAGTGGAATGTCGTCCCCCCACCCCACTCACCATATCCACATGCCCCAACCCTTCAGATCACTGCCCAAATGCCCCCTCCTCCACAAAACATTTTCTAAGCCCTCTGCTCCTGACCAGTGTGAGTCACTCCTCTTCTGTCTGTACTCCTACAGCCCTCGTGGGCATCTCTTCATACAGCGCTTGGGACATACTACATGGTTGTTCCAGAAGCTGATACATGTTTTGTCACACCTACTAATAACATGGATCTGGATTATATCCATTTTCTACCTAGCTCGGTGACTTTGTATACAGGATGTTTAATACATGTCCATCAAATAAGTGATCCCCTAAAAATTCAGAAGGAAAGAAAACTGTTGAAGGAAAAGACAAATGAAAGGTATGAATTCCCAGTAAACATTCTGATGTTCCTTTGCCCTATCAATATTTGTGCCTTGGTTTAAAAAAAAATCTGTCTTTGTGTGTGTGTGTGTGTGTGTGTGTGTGTGTGTACACATACGCGTATTTGAATTCATGATAGTCATCTTAGGCCAGGTCTTTTTTTTTTTTTTACCTCAGTGCTTTAAAAAAAATCATGATGTGAGGTGAGTGTAGTGGCGCATGCCTGTAATCCTAGCATTAGAAGGCAGGCACAGATAGATCTGTGTGCTAAAGGCTAGCCTGAGCTACACAGCAAGTTTCAGGTCAGTTGAGCTACACAGTGCGCCACTGTCTCAAAAAGAAAAGAAAAGAAAATCATATAAAGTTATTGTCATAGTTTAGTGGCAGAGCTCTTGCTTAGCATTTATGAGGTTCTGGGTTCAATTCCTCGCATCACCAAAAAAAGGGGATGGACAAATGATGTATTTCGGGATTACAATTTGAAAACATCCTTAAGTTTCCTCTCTTTTGTCTTTTTAAAATAGGCTACATGCACATAGATCTCATCCCACTACTCGAAGGCTCTCTGAAAGACAGAGTCGCCTCAGCCTGGAACTTCAAACTGCATCAATGCTACTCTCCTCCTGAACTTTCTAGACTGCAATCAGCAACCTATTATATAGCATTTTGGGTTATTGCCAAACTAATCATCAGAATTCTCCATCACCTTCCAAATAACTCTGCTGGCTCTTCCCCTCGCCCACCGACATCATTACAAAAACAAGTCTCATGGCATGGCCATAGCGGTGGCTTAAGTACTCACTGGGGTTCATTCACGTAGCTTTGAAGCCATTTTCAAGATTTTTGTTCTGTGCTAACTAGCCCCATAAATCTGTCTCCCTTCTTTGGGTTTCTGAAATATTTATAATGTGTCTGCTCTCCGTGCTGCTGAACTGTGTGCAGAACTGCTTTTCTTTTTTGCGTTCTGAGCCGAACGCCACTGCAGAAGCGGATGCAGCCAGCTCCAAGGAAGCAACTGAAAATGCTCCTTAAGCAAGCACCGGTGCACCCAGAGGTTAAGTCCTTAAGTCCTCCGGATTCATTCCAGCGGTGTGAGGGCGCTCGTGGACTACGAACCCAGCCCTCTGCAGTCTCAGGGAGCCAAATGCACTCGTGTCATCATCTCTTAAGAGATGTCCCATCATTCCTAGACTTTGTCTCTAAAGTTAACGAAGTCGGTTCCAGATCTTTCCAAGGAGTCTACACGGTCCTCTGTACTGTTCCTTTGCCAGCTTGGGGCCCTCTGTCGGCCGCCAGCCGCTGTCGAACCCAGGCGCCTCGGGGCCCGATATTTTTATGCATTGCTTTTTGATTATTTACTAAGAATCCTAAAGTGACTGGAACATCACGAACCAGACACAACGGCGCAGGAACCCTACCAAACTCTTCATACACACCTCGCTTCCTGGGCTTTCTGAGAAGGATCTAGTCCCCCTACCCCAGCCCCCGAGAGAACACGGTGGCCAAGGCCCCCCAACCCGTCCCGGGCGGACCCGCCCCACGCGCCTCGTGCATTCCTCTCGCGTCCACCGCACCACGCTGGCACCGCTGCCTCGGCTTGGGACCCCGCGGCCCGGCCCACCGTCGCCACTCACCTAGCAGCTCCGCGATGGCACTGAAGGGTCGCGTGTGACTGCTGGAGTTGCTCTGGAGGTAGCGGGGGCTCATCTGGGGGCGAGAAAAGGTCCCGTCCCGCGTGAGGCCTCGGCCCGCCGGGCCCACTCCATGCGCCCCCCGCAGCCCGGGGACCCGCGCACGCTCGCGCGAGTCCGTCCCCTCGGGGGGCCCCCGACCTACCGTGCTCAGGCGAATCCCGAAGGCCTGCGGGACACTGCCCGCTCGGGCCAGTCCGCCGCCCCGAGCGCCAGGGCCCGCGGGGGCCCCTCGGTACAGGAGCATTTTTTTGGCCGCCAGGATACTCGTTTGCCGCTGCCGGACCCTTCGGCCGGCTGTCCCACACTAGACCGCGCTGTCCCCGGACTCGCAGCTGGCAGTGGCCGTCCCGGACTGGCCCTCCCTGGTTCCCACTCGCAGCTGGCGGAGGCGGGGCGCACTGCAGCCACCTGTCCCCAGCGGGAGGGGGTGAAGCCGGCGGAGCCCAGCGTCTGCCCCGCCTTGTCAGCACCTCTCCTGACCCACCGACTGCCGGGGCTGCCCCACGGGCTGTACAGAAATATGGCGATCTCCTGACAGACGCTCCTCCATCCCCGCCCCTAATTAATTCTTGGCGTTTGCCATAGGCCAAGCGGCCGAGCGGGAAAAGCGCGAGGGGAGGGGGGGGATGGCGGTGCGTGGGGAGGGGCGGGAATGTGGCAAGAGGAGGGAGAGCGTGCATGGGATTTCTGGAGTCCCACTTAGGCTGCATGACTAACAGGCAGGATAAGACAAGTCTTTCAAGTTTGAAGGACTACAGTCTTGCTATCTATGAAGATAGGAAACTGAAGCTAAGGGAAGTCATTCCAATAGCGGCTTCGAAAGTGTATGGAAGCACCCGGAACTTTCTAGAATGCAATTGGCAAAATGCCTACCAATCCTTCAAGCATGCAGAGCGACTTTATAAAAGGAGAAACTGAATTGACTTACTGCGAAATAGGGCATCGATTAAGTTATAGAATGTGCATAAATTAATATGCAACTTTGTGTATCTGCAGGCTTGCAGCTGCACAGTGCATATACTACTTGTGTTGCTGCACAGAGCACACACCACTTGTGTCTGAAGGCCAGACACTGAAATCCCGTGTCTCTGTGGCTGGGGTGACAAGCTCGCACTACTGTGTCATGCTTGCCCTTTCCCCACTGAGCCATCTCCCCAGCCCCTAAGTAATGTGAAATTTTCATTTTAAAAAGTTTTTATTGCTGCACTCAATTATTTTGTGTGCGTTTGAGCACCTATGTTTGTGTCCTCATGTGGAGATCAACGCACAATTTGCAGAAGTAGGTTTTCACCTTCCACCATGTCATGTGGGTTTAGGGATGCAACTCAGGTTCTCAGGCCTGGTGGCAATCACCACTGAGTCATTTCACCCAGCCCAATATTCAACTTTAAAAGGACAAGCCTGTTGTAGATGAATCTACATTTACAGATGCTGTATTGGTCAACGAGGATGGTCAGCATGTTGGCTTCATATACTTATATTTTTTTCATATAATGAAAGAATAAAACCCAGGTCTTTCAAGGACACACCAGGCAAGTACCCTACCACCAAGCTGCATCCCTCATTTCTTTTTCTGCATGTGTGCATATGTGTGTGTAGGGGGTGAAAGCCCTACATTGCATGTCTTTTTCAATGAAGCTCACCAATTTAGCTAGACTGCCTAGTCAGTGAGTTCCAGGATCTACCCCCCCCCACTACCCCCACTACCTCAGCACTTTCAGGCGGGTGCTGGGGATATGAAGTCGGGTCCCCAGGCTTTGTATGGCAAGTGCTTTAAGCTTTATCGACTAAGCCACCTCTCCAGCCTCCCTTTGCGTGTGTGCATGTGTACATGTTTTCATGTGGGGAGGTTGCCTGTGTGTGTGTGTGTGTGTGTGTGTGTGAAAGCCAGAGGTCAACTCTACCTTGTTTTTTTTTTTTTGAGACAGGGTCTTCCAGTGGCCTAGAATTCACTGTGTAGGATGACTAGCCTGATTCTGTCTCTCGGGTGGTGGGACTACAAGAGGACGCCCACCCTGCTTGTTATAGAGCATGTGTTCCAAGGATTGAACTTAGGTCCTTATCCTGGCACAGCAAACACTTTCTTAACTGAGCTATTCGACAAACACCCCCCCACACACACACACACACACAGACACTTTTTTTGAGACAGACTCTTAGTTCTAAGCTCCGACAGGCCTTTATCTCTCTATCTTCCTTCCTCAGCCTGTGCTTGGAACACGGGGGAGGGCCTCCATGCCCTTTTGTTTGTGATGAAAATGTTTTTAAAAGTATAGTTATTTAGAATTGTATAGCACTTTATTGTACTCCCCAGACTCCCTTATTGTTTGGTAACATAGCAGAACTTCTTCCTTCTAACTGCACACCTGCTGCCCAACTTCTGCCGGTGCCTGCCTCTCTCAACTAGCAGTTCCTGTGGTCAGACATTGAAGGGGAATGTTCATTTTCGCTAGAGTGACTAGTACTGCAATAAACATGGAAGTGCAGATGTCTCTTCTGTAGTCACTTCATTTCCTTTGGAAACGTACCCAAGGTTGGGATTTCTAGACTCCGTTGTAACACTGTGTCTAAATTTTTAGAGGAAGCTCCATACACTTTTTTATAACGTGTGTGCTAATTTGCATTCCCGCCAACCGCTTACAAAGCTTTCCTTTTTCCCACACCCATACCAGCAATTGTTTTCTTGGTCATTTTGTCATTCTAACTGGAATGAGGTGTCCTTTGTGATATTCATTTCCGTTTTAGCTACACTGGGATTTTGGTGTACATGTATACTGAGATTGGACCTGGGGCATCACACCCCATCACACTACCACCGAACTACCTATTTCCAGCTTCCTTTTTACCTTTTCTTTTGAGATAGAGTGCCCAGGCTGGCTTTGAAATTACTTTGCAGTCCCAATAGGCTGAGCATGCAGTCACCCTTCCTTAATATTTGCAATAGCTGGAATTGCAGGCCCATGCCATCAAGGCCAATGAGTATTTTAAATTAACTTATGGGCTTTTTATGTATTTTTTTTTTGAGAAATCGACTTCCGCTGTAAGTTTTATGAAACTGGGTAAGTAGTTATATAGATAGCAAGCGATTGGTAGGGAAGAGACAATTCTTCCATGGTATAAAAATGCGCAAGTTGTCCAGGGCACTCTGGTGATACAGGTTTTGATGAGTAGTTGCCCACGCTGGAGTAATGTTTTTTTTTTTTTTTTGGCAAAGCAGCTGCCAGAATCACCCATGTTCCTCTAAGTAGCCCCTCACCCATGCCCCCAAAACCCATTGATTCATCAAACTGTATTTGAATGGAATAATTTCTTTGATCTGCTCTTGTTCTCTCTATCTGGCGCAAATAGAAAGAGACTCCACAAGTAAAGTCATGCAACACTGTGTGACATGGTACCTTTCATTGGGAAATCAAGTATATATGTATGCATTTACACATAGATCTATGTTCAGCATATTATCCAGTCAACTCAGTGTCCATGGGGCACTGGTTTCAGAACCCCAAAATACACCCAATTCTGTATACGCTCAAGTTCTGTGCATAAAATGATATGACAATTGCATATAACCTGCCCCTATTTTCTCATATACTTTAAATAATCTCTAGATTGCTTTTAATATGTAAAAATGTATATATTATGTAAATCAATGTTGTGCTGTACTGTTTGGAAAAAGTGACAAGAAAAAAATTGTGCCCATTCAGTTCAAAAATATTTTTAATCTGGGGTTGGTTAAATAAATATATATAATATATAATGTAAACTAACTAAATATATAAATATGCCTGGTCTACAGAGTGAGTTCCAGGATTCACTCCAAAGCTATACACATAGAAACCCTGTCTCAAAAACCAAATATATATATATACATATATATATATATATCCTGAGTAATATAAATATGTGTATAAGTGCAAGTAATTATATGTGTATAAAAATACATGTACATAATGAAATATATAATAAAATATACAAATATATGTATAGATACAGAACCCATAGGTACAAAAAGCTAATTGTAGACACACAATAAAAACAATATATAAATCCTTGTATTTCTATTTTTAAAACCTATCTTTTTCTTTAAAACTTTCAAAATACACAAAAGTACAGACAACAAAATGATTACTCTCTGTTGACATATTACTTAGGTGCAGAAACGATTAAGCTCACACAGCGACCCATACTCACAAATAAAATTAATACTTCTTTAAAAATGTCTATTTTAGAGATGCCTTAACAGGAATGCTTATGTCTGATGACATATTCAATCCCTTTTTCAGAGCAACGCAGGCCATCTGTTCCTCCGTAAGCAGAGCCCAGCATTTGTAAGGTCTTGTTCTCTTGGTTTTTATAGTCAAGCCTTGATCATCTCTCAACGGGCTCTCTAACTGCCTTCTTTTGAGATGTGTACTATGATCCTCCTGTTCTACTTGCTTCTGGGCATTGTGACTGTATTTTAATATTGTGGGATTTGGGGTCTGTGGCCTCATAAGCATTTAGAATCGTGATTGGCAACCGGGGTTCCACGCATTTCTGAGATGTCTCCAGCTCTCTATGTCAGAAGTGATCCCCAGAGGCAAGTGAACTGGGAAGAGTTCAGGACCTAGCGCTAGCTTTCCTGCCTCTAGGCAGCCCTAAACAAGACAGTAAATGAATCTACGCAAATTCTATCAGTGCTGCTCCATGGGGCAATCAAAGGGCCGTGACATGAAGTTCCACTGTGTCGCCCCCAAACAAGGCTTCTGTAGCAGCTGGCACATTAGTGAAGGAAGATGGATTCCAGAGTACTGGGCTATGGTGAAACCCGGGGGTTTGCTGCACTACACAGAACCAGAAAGTGCTTCTGCAGGATAGTGCAGAACCGTGGAGCATCCCCACTAGTTTCTGTCCTGGAGCTGAGCTGTAGGAATCAAGTCCAGTGTCCCCCTGCTCTGAACCTTTTATATGATCTTTGCTGTTCCATGCTGTCTGTTCATTTGGTCAAGGTTGAATGCCTTGCCCTGGAGGAATCACACACAGAAGCACTTGGCATTGTCACATTGGGTTCCAGGGTGTGCGTGAGTTTCTTCCATCGTGTCCTGACCTATTCTCGAAGGTCACATACCCCAAGTTCCTGGATGAACATGCTGAAGCCCGAAAGGTATCAAGGAGGGAGGTCAGCCAGGTGCCTTTGGAAAGCTGAGCAGAGGAAGGCACGGGTTCCTGTCCTACTCCTCCCTCCACTAAGCTGGCCTGCGATCTTAGAAACAGATAATCGTCCCAAGGAAGCACACCCAACCAGATCATGCAGGCTGAAGGATGCGGGACACTCTCAGGATAGACACCTTCAGGGAGTGAGAAAACAGTGTTGTTCGGAGAGAGGGAAGTGGAGCGAAGACGCAGCTTCAGTGACATTTCAGAAGGCTGCTTGGGCACTCCAAGAGTCATGATTTGGGACACAGAGCTGGACATTTAAACGCCATCTTTGAGCAGTCCCTGGATACAGGCTATCACCTGGGGATGA